AATGAGATCCGACCTCACACCAGTCAGAATGGCTAAAATTAACAAGTCAGAAAATGACAGGTGTCAGTGAGGATGCGGAGAGAGGGGAACTCTCCTACACTGTTGATAGGAATGCAAGCTGGTGCAGCCCATCTGGAAAACAGCATGGAGGTTCCTCAAACAGTTGAAAATAGAGCCACCCTATGACCCAGGAATCACACTACTGGGTATTTATCCTAAAGATACAAACGTAGTGCTCCAAAGGGGCATGTGCACCCAAATATTTATAGAAACAATGTCCACAATAGCCAAACTATGGAAAGAACCTATATGTCCAACAACAGATGAATGGATAAAGAAGATGTGGTTCATATATACAATGGAATACTATGTAGTCATCAAAAGAAATGAAATCTTGCCATTTGCAATGATGTGGATGGAACTAGAGGGTATTATGCTGAGCGAAATAAGTCAATCAGAGAAAGACAATTACAACATGATCTCCCTGACATAAGGAATTTGAGAGGAAGGGCAGGAGGTTGTGGGGGGTAGGGAAGGAAAAAATGAAACAAGATGGGATCGGGAGGGAGACAAACCATAAGAGACTCTTAATCTCACAAAACAAACTGAGGGTAGGGGGGTAGGGAGAGGGTGGTTGGGTTATGGACGTCGGGGAGGGTCTGGGCTCTGGTGAGCGCCGTGAACTGTGTAAGCCCGACGATTCACAGACTGCGCCCCTGGGGCTAATAATACATTATATGTTAATAAAAAATAAAAAATTATTTTAAAATAATGAGTTTAGAAATGTGGCAGTATAAAAAATTAAAATACAAACATCATTGCATTCTACACACCAGCAGCAAGCGATGATATAGAGATGACACTATGTGAGGTACTATGAAGATGTCAAGGAACTAAGAATAAATCTAATAAAAGATGTATATGATACTTTATGATGTATTAATTTGTCGATTTCCCCCAAAATGACCTAGGGATTCAATGCAAGTCCATCCAAAATCACAATAGGACTAGCTGTGGACTCCGATAAAAACAATCATGATGTTTATATAGAAGGAAATGAGTCAAGCAGGACCATAACCCTCATCTAAAGAGAGGCAACCTGCCGCCCAGATGTGGAGACAGCGCGGCACTGGTGCAGGGGTGCAAAGTCACCTGTGGACCAGACTAGAGACTCCAGAGATGGACCCACACTGGTGCACAAAGCAGGAAAGAAAGGGACTTTTCAACAAATAAATGGAAAAGGTAGTTGTCCCTATGGACAAAGATAAAATTTGATTCTTATCATACCATATTCAAAAATCAACTCCAGATAGGCTAGGACTTATACGTCAAAGACAATTTTGGAACTCTTAGTAATACATGTAGGTAAATAATAGTTTAAACCTCAAGGTAAGGAAAATTTTCTTTTTTTTCAAGATTTTATTTATTTATTTGGCAGAGAGAGAGAGGGAGAGAGAGACAGCAAGAAGAAGGAAGGGGAGCGGCAGGCAGAGGGAGAACAGACTCCTGCTGAGCAGGGAGCCCCAAGTGGGACTCCATCCCAGGACACTTAATTTAACTTAAGGCAGGCGCTTAACCAATTGAGCCACCCAGACATCCCAGGAAAAACTTAAGACAAAAATAGCACTGACTAAAAAAAATACTGATAACTTCGGCCACACTAAAATCACAATTTTCATCAAAAGATAGTTTTTAAAAACTGAAAATACAGGGTGCCTGGGTGGCTCAGTCAGTTAAGCATCTGCCTTTGGCTTGGGTCATGATCCTGGGGTCCTGGGATCAAGCCCCACAGGGGGTATAAGGGTGCCAGAGATGGGTGAATGTATATCACTGTTTGGTTCTAATTATGTTTTTTTTTTTAAGATTTTATTTATTTATTGGAGAGAGAGAGAGAGAAGGCATGAGCACGCAGAGGGGAAGAAGCAGAGCGAGAAGCAGACTCCCGGCTGAGCAGGGAGCACAATGTAGCGCTCTTTCCCAGGACACTGGGATCATGACCTGAGCCTGAAAGCAGACGCTTAGCCAGTTGAGCCACCCAGACGCCCCCTAATTATGTTTTTAAAACTACCTGAAAGTGGGCCATGTACGGACAAACAATGAAACTATGCCATGAACCAAGGATTACGACTTACCAGAGTATGTGCACCCAAGATCCAGTGAAACGAGAAAAATGAAGTAATTAAAGTTCTGTACAGTATAATAAAATAAGAAAAAGATATAAAATGTGCAATGATAGCAAAGAAAAAGAAAACTCTTCAGATGATATAATTGTGTATATGAAAAATCCAAAATAATTTTCAAATATATTAATAAATTGATGGAAATGTTAGCCAGAAGCCTGGATTAAAAAGAAATTGATCCACAAAAATCAATTCCATTTCTATCAACCAGCCACAATTTGTCAAAGAAATACAAATTTTGATACTACTTATCATAGAAGAAAAAATAGAACACATATAAGACTAAATCTAACTTCCAAAAAAGTATAAGACCATCACAAAGAAAACTGTAGGAATTTACTGAAAGACACTAAAAGATAAGTAAATGGAGAGATATACCACGTTCATAGATGATAAGACTCAATAATGTAAAGAAGTCCATTCTCCTTAAACTGATACATGAATTTAATTTCAATAACAATTTTTTTAATTTTAACTTTTTTGATGTGTCTTGACAACCTGGTTCTACAACTTGAATGAAAGTGTAAGGGGTCAAGAACAGCCGAGTCGTTTCCAAGGAAGAAAAGCAAGATTGTGGGACTTGCCTAACCAGCATAAAGATATCCTATAAAGCTATAGTAACAAAGACATCATGTCATTGGCCAAGGGCAAGGAACAGACCAGCGGAGCAGACCGGGAAGTCCAGAGATACCGTATGTGCAATGGGTGGGGGAGGGGCTTTCCACAGTTGGGTACCCCTGCAACACTGCGATAGGACCTCCTGTCACACCACAGGCAAATTAGCTCCAGGAGCATTAGAGACTGAAAAGCAGGAGCAGCAGCACTTCTAGGAGAAGCTGCTGGAGATTATTTTCATGACCTCAGGGTAAGGCTATAAGGCATAAAAGTCTCCAACCATAGAGGGAAAAGTTGACCAGCTTAAGTTTATTAAAATTAAGGGGGATTTACATCCAAAGGGACCATAAATGAGCAAAAGACACATCACACAGTGGGGGACAGTATTTGTAAGAGTCAACTGAAAAAGGAGAATCCAGAGTTGACGTTGCTCCCACAAATCCAAAAGCGACAGACCCGTGAGTCTGAGGACAAATGGACAAAAGGTTCGAGTGGGCAGTGCTTAGGAGAGGAAAAGTAAATGGCCAACACATGTCTGAAAATAGGCCATTTTATTGGTCAGCGGAGAAAGGCAAAGGAGTCCCACGGCGCTGTGTCCAGAGGCCTTAGGGTGTCTCTCAACGCCCAGGGCTGGCCACAGCCGGGCGATGGCCGTCGGGGAGTGCAGTCCAAGGGCACCCCCGTTAGCCACGCCTACACGGCTCAGTGGACCAGGTCCAACAGCCCCACCCCACAGGATCATGTCCACGTGCAATCTGTGAATGTGACATGATTTAGACATAGTCATCGCAGGTGGCATCGAGTTAAGCTGTCACACTGGAGGGAGGAGGGCAGGCCCCAATCTAACAGTGGTGTCCTTCTGAGACCGAAATTTGGACACAGAGGCTCAAAGGAGGAGCACCGTGTGAAGACGGGGCAGAGCCTGGGGAGGCACTCTACAAGCCAAGGGACACCAGGGATGGCCAGTGGTCACCAGAAGCTGGAAAAGACAAGGAGGGACTCTTCCCCACAGCCTTGGAGAGCGTGGCACTGCCAATACCATGATTCCAGACTTCGGGCTCCAGAATTCGCAAGAATACATTTCCGTCTTTCAGCCCCACCCCGTCAGTGCTGCTCTGTGACAACCCCTGAGCCCCCCATCAACGTTTCACTCCTAGGAAGATGCCCGTCGAGAGCCGCACAGTGTGTTATGAAAAGTACATGGTGTTTTCCTAACAGCAAAAACACCCTGGAAATCGTCCTCACAAAGGCAAGCTGTTGAGCGGTGGGGCTGGCCAGCCGCCACGACAGAGCAGACACAAGGCGAGGAAAGAAGGCGGGACAAGGGATGTCCTCCGAGGGTGCCGCCAGCTCTGAAGGCATGTGCTCCCGTAGCCCGAGCCCAGAGCCCACGCCTCTGGAGGCGGTCTGTGTGCCTCCACCCAACAAACACTCACTGACCCCGGCCACGTGTCATGCACAGCCCCAGGTGCTGCGGTGAGCACAGCGTCAGGGACCTACGCTCTAGGAGACACAGAGGGACAGGCTGCAAACAGATGGGGGCGGTGGGGGGACAAAGAGGTTGGTGCCAGGGAGGGAGGTGAGGAGAAAAGGAGGGAAGGAGGGAGGAAGGGCGCAGGAGAGAGAAAGAGACGAGCCCCAGGCAGGTGGAGGGAACACGGTGTGTTTGAGGAGGCAAATGTCCCGGGGCAGAACCAGCGGGGGGTTTGGGGGAGGCCTGGCTCATGCCTTTTCATTGCACAGACTCTCGGGCCACCACTGGGTGCCAGACGCCTCTAGAGGCGCACTGAGGTTCAGACGGCAGGGTCACCCCCAGAGCCTTGGGGGCCCCCCACACCTGTCCACCTGTGCTCTGAGCCCAGGCCCAGGACAGGCTCCCAGGCTGCGCACGGTCAGCTCCTTCAGGAACTTCAGACAACTGAAGGCAAGAGCCCAGGGATCGCTGGCGCCTGCCCTTGGCACCTGGCACCGTTCGATCCCCCATGAGCATTAGGTCACGTGAGGAGCGAGACAGTCTGTCACCCACCCCGTCCCGTGAGGGGTCCCTACCACTGCCGCAGGAGTCCCACCGTCCCCACAGCCCGGCCAGTCCCAGGATGGGGCCAGGGTGCCCCCGAGCCCGCTCTGAGCTCAGGCTGATGCCCACATGGGGACCCGCTCCCTGCCTGGGGTGCAGGCCGCCCCCAGCAGACCCTGCGCTGGTACCTGGCGGTTTGGGCGGCTGGAGCAGGGCGCCCTCCGCCGTCTTCACGCTGGGAAGCGCCGATGGCAGCGAGGGCTCGTTCGGTATCTTCGGATCCGAGGGTCTGCCGGACTCAGCGTTGGTCGGACCAGTTTTCGGGGCCCTGCTGTCTACGTGCTGCAAGTTACAAGGGGGGAACTCGAGCTTCCCGACCGACGGGGCGGTGGCGGACCGGGCTTTGCAGCTCCTGGCGGCGGCCCCCCACAGGGGCGCGGGAAAGGTGCGGGGACAGGCCTGCGCCTCTTTCAGCCTCAGGTCTTGCTGCGGCGCCGTGGCGGGGGCCCCCAGAGGCGGGCTGGGCATGGCCGAGGGGCACCTCACTTTCAGGGGCTGAATGTCCAGGAGGGAGGACGGAAGATTCGCGCTGGAGGTGGGTGGCGCCTGCTTCCTGGCTCTCCTCACGCTGACGCCCTCCACGCACAGGTCGGACCCGTGCAAGGGGGGCAGCTCCACGGCAGGCTAGGCAGAGGAGGGTGCGCTGGCCCAGTCGCCCAGAGCCCGGCGCCTCCTCCCTGTGTCTGCCACGGCCTGCAGAGGCCTGGCGAGAAGCCTGGGCCTCCCTTCCCTGGGGCTGGGCAGTCCCCCAGCTCCCTCCCCCAGAGAGGCCCAGGCACACGGTACTCCATGGAACCAGAGTCCCCAGCAAAGTGACCACCCAGCCCTGCCGCCTGGCCTGCAGGAAGGCTCCCAATAGGGACTAGGCGCAGGACCTCTGAAGGAGGACACCATTTTCCCCAGGCGGGAGGAGGGAGGACACAACAGGTCTGGAAAGGAACACCCTAGATTCTGAGCCTGGACGCCATGGACCTCCCAGCAGCAGTCCAGGCAGGGGGGCCTCCCCACCTGGTGGCCACAGAGCTGGGGGTGGCTGGGGAGGATAGGGAGTAGAGCAGAGTGGTGAAGGCGGCTGGGCCGGGGGCAGTCCCAGGAGGGGTGGGGGGGGTAGTCCAGGGGCACCAGAGCCACTGGCTGCTGTCTTTGCCTGAAGCAGCTACAGCCCCCACCGGCGGGACCAGGCGCCCGCCCCTCCCCCCTCAGCACTGTGCCCCCCCACCCCGCGCCGGGCCCGCGCGGCCCCCAGCACTGCGCCCCCGCACCTGTCTCCATAGCAGCTCAAAGTTGCCGATGTCGCAGCTGCGGTCCGCCCTGCGGTCCAGCACCACCTTGATGGTGTCCTCCTGCACCTGCGCGCACAGCTGGGCCGTGACGGGCGTGGACGGGTGCATGGTGGGGCTGGAGTTGATCTCGATGAGCCAGGGCTGGAAGTCGCGGCCCAGGACGAAGTCGGCCCCGTACAGCTCAAAGCTGTTCTTGCGCGGCTCCACGCGGTCCTGGGCCGCGCGCATGGTGTTGGTGACGGCCCGCTTCATGGCGGGGTAGATGACGCCCACCCACACAGCCCCGCGGCCCCGCTTCTGCAGGTACTCCCGGAACCTGGTGCTGGTCCACATATTGTGGTAGGGCAGCAGGGGGCTGCGGTCCTTGTCGTTCTTGAGGTGCTTCTGGATGGAGTTGTTGCACAGGTGGATGGCACTGCACGGGGCAAGTGCGGTCAGGCCTGCGCCTCCTGGGGCTCTGGCACCGCGCCCCCGTCCCCGCCCCGGACCTCCACGCGCTGCGCCCGGGACTCAGTCTCCACCTGGGAGACCCGTGACCCCTATCCCGGACGGCGGCCCCGGACGGCGAGACCCAATCTCCAGAACACTTATGCCACCACCTATGCGCATGCCCGCCGGACATCTCCCCCGAGACCCCACCCCTGCGGACCCTCTGCCCCCACAGAACCCCCAAGTCACAGCTAACCCCGCCCCCAGAGACTCTGCTCTCGAGACCCCGCCCCCCCCACCGCAGGGTGGCTGCAGGAGGGGCTCTGATAGCTCGGGTCCTCGGGAAGTAACGCCTCCCAGAGCCTCAGTTTCCCCATCTGCACCGGGCAATAGAGATGTGGCTCTTGAAGAGCTGGTCTGGTGAGACAAAGTGAGAAAGTCTTTGTGAAACGAATTAATCAATTTGCACTCTTGCCTTGTGCCAAACCTGTTTTGAAACAACCACGAGATGAGCCATGTGGCTCTGGGTGGTAAGACGTGTCCCTGTGACCCTGGAGAGGTCGTACTTCCAGAGGACAGAAGGGCCTTGTGACTGGAGACAGCGGAATTAGGGTAGTGGGCCCCAGAGCCAGCATGGCACTCCCTCCATTAACTCCGGCCGCTGCATAGACAGCCGGGCTGTGTCCGCTCAGAATGATTCAGGGACTCTCCTGCCTGCCTGGGGGGAGGATTATGGTCCCAGATGGAGAAATGGGGCTCAGAGAGGGCAAGGGGTTTGGCAAGCACCCCCTCACGGCTTGGTGCATCCGGTGGCCTGGGGTGGGGGGCTGGAGGGGGCTCCTTATGCACAGTGAGGGTCACGCCCCCTCCTCTAGGCCCCCTTGGCCTGGCAGAGACGAACTCACTCGAGGAGCTGCCAGCCAGAGCCACTTGTCCTCAGCAGCCAAGGGTCACTTGCCAGGTGTGACTCTTGGTGTGGCCACAGCCACTAGCCAGGGGGAACACAGTTAACATGCCCAAGGTGTCCGCTGACCATCTCCCAGCCCTATCAATTCTGGGTTGAGCTCAAGAGTTGGATGTTTCACCAACTGAGTCACCCAGATGTCCCCACCTTTCTTGGAAGCAGGCCCCACGCCCAGTGCGTCCTCTCTGCAGGACCCCCCTGCAGTGCTCCTGGTCAAGACGCCAAGGCCCTCAGACCCACGCGGGGCGGGGTGTCACAGGCAGAAGTGGGGAGCCCCTGGTTTGGACAGGCAAGGGGGTTCTCTGCCTCCCTCCCGAGGCTTTGCCGAGTGACCTCACTGTCCGCACCATACCTATGTCCTGCCCACCTGGAGAGCCTGATGAGGCATGGGTTCCCCCACCCCTGACACCCCTTCCTGGACATCTGAGCCTCTGCTCAGCACCTCCGTGGAGCACCCTTCCCAGCACCCTGGCCCCAGGGGCCTTGGGATCTGGGTGCGGCCTTTTCTGCCTCAGGTGCTCCCCACTTCTTGTCCTGCCTGGCACCGCTGGGGTCCTCAGAGGACCCCTCAACTGCCTGCTCAGGACCTGAACATTTCTTCCTCCCCAGCCACCTGCAGGAACCCCGACCCCAGGACTTCTGGGCCTCACAAAGAGTTTGAGGGCTGGCAAGGCAGATGTGCCCCCAAAGGTGCCCCAGAGAGAGCAGGACTGTGCCGCCAGCCGAGGGCACCGCCAAGCTTGGGTGGCTGCGGGTCAGTGTGTGAGCACAGCTGGCCGCTTAGCCCTTCCAGCAGAGGGGGGGCACCCACCACGGAGGGGGCTCTGAACCTGCCGCTTAGATGGGTCATCCCTGGGCCCTGCCTGGCATCTCATGGGCACACGGCACACGGAGCTTTCAGGATTTTCTGGAGACGATACACACGTGTTGGTGTGCAGAGCAGGGTTTTGAAGAACACCAGGCCTGGGCCTGGCCCTCGGGGATGGAGGCCACGTAACCTCCCCAAGCCCACTTCCTCATCAGTGTGTCCGGGGTGGCGGGGGTCAGCAGGCATGGCCCGGCACCCCGCCCCGTCCCGCAGGTGTGGTGGGCACCCACCGTGTCCCCTCACGCCCAGTGGCGTCCAGCTGGCGCTCCCACCGACCTGTCCAGGCTCTCCAGGGAGAAGCGCTGTGTGGAAAAGCGAAGGTAGCTCTCCTTGTAGAACCAGATGGTCAGCGGGTTCCAGTCGGTGACCAGGAACCACTGCCTGATGTCGAACTTGGTGCCGTAGATGAGCAGCGGGGTCTCAATGTACTTCTGCACCACCCACTTGTTGTCCTTGGCAGAGAGGTGGTCGGCCGCCACCAGCTCCAGGATCTCCTCCACGCGGTTCATGCACACGATGTCTGCAAGAGGTCGGCGCTCAGCCCAGGGCGCAGCGCAGCGTCCAGCGTCGGCCCCGGGACCCGGCGTGGCTTTGATCCGGGACCGGGAGGCCACACAGCCGGGTGGCCCCGCAGGGAAGACTTGGCCCTCCTGGGGGAGGCCACAACCGGTGCCGACCCCCAACCTCTCCCACCGGGGAGCCTCCCTCCAGGACTCAGGAGAGGACACAGAATGGAGAGGGGCAGGGATGGGGACCGAGGCATGTTTCAAAGGCGGCCAGCGAGGGGTGGCTGAGCCCCAGCCCCGGCGTGGGGTGAACAGGGGCAGGGAAGCTCTGTGGGCCTCAGGGAGCCAGCAGACGGGGCAGGGGGCAGGCGTCCAGGGGCCCGGAGTCTGGTGCCCGGACTAACAACACGACTACACGTCAGTGCACCCGTTCTGGTCCTCCTCCGCCTCACGGTTCCTTGTCCCCAACTCCCTGGTGAGCAGTGACATCTGAGCAGAGGGGACAGACCTCTCTCTCATCTGTTGGGTCACCACCAGATCCTCCAGCCCTCTCTTTCTCAGCCATGACAACCCTGAAGCCTGGAGGGAATGACATCACAAGATGGTGGGGGTCTTTGGGTGGCCACACGCGAGGAGGGAGCTTTCCCCACAAAAACGACAGTCTCATCTTTTCAGCTGTGAGCTGGGACCTGCTGACCGGAAATGAGAGACACGGCAGAGCAGCAAACCTCAGCAGTCACCCGGGCTCAGAGCAGGAAGGTGCCCGGCCAGCGCCCAGCCACAGCCGGTGCCACAGCCACAACCACAGCTGGCAACACAACCACAGCCGTCACCACAGCCACAGCCAGCATCACAGCCACAGCCACTCCCGGTGCCACAGCCGCAGCCACAGCCGGCATCACAGCCACAGCCGGCATCACAGCCACAACCAAAGCCGGTGTCACAACCACTGCCGGTGTCACAGCCACAGCCGGCGCCACAGCCACAGCCGGCGCCACAACCACAGCCGGCGTCACAGCCACAGCCACAGCCGGCGCCACAGCAACAGCCGGCGCCACAACCACAGCCAGCGTCACAGCCACAGCCACCACCGGTGCCACAGCAACAGCCGGCGCCACAACCACAGCCAGCATCACAGCCACAGCCACAGCCGGTGCCACAGCCACAGCCGGCGCCACAACCACAGCCGGCATCACAGCCACAGCCAGCACCAGTGCCATAGCCACAGCTGGCGTCACAGCCACAGCCGGCGCCACAGCCACAGCCGGCGTCACAGCCACAGCCGGCACCACAGCCCAGCCAGGAAGCCCTGCGTTCGGGTGTGAGCACCGGCAGCTGAGGTGTCTGTGGAGCATTCCTGGGGACGCCGGTGTCTGCCGCGGGAGCAAGGTCAGGCCTGACAGGAGGACGGAGCCGCCGGCAGATGGATGCCTCGTGAGAGAAGCAGGCTCAGGATAGAGCTGATGGAGGGGCAGGGGCCGGACCCCGGAGGGCAGGTGCACAGAGCACAGTGGGCGGAAGGCCGGGAAAGACAGTGTTTCAGGACGGACGCAGCACCATCAGAAAGTAATACATACTTTTTAAAATCATGTAAAAATGAACCACTTAGGAATTAAAACAACAAAAAACTCTTCAAATAATTCAAGGAGAAAATAAAATATCCAAAAAAATTGAAAATCTATTTAGATACTCAGGAAAGTGGGAACGTCGCCTGACAGAAGCAAGCTGGCGCGGCCGGGAGGGCCATCTCCAGCGGGACGGCCCAGACCGAAGACTCTTACCGTTGCACAAGAGAGACTGGAAGTTAATAGGCATTAAAGTCAGAGCCCATGGGGAAAACACCCTCACAGGAAACTGGAAAACCGCAGCCTTAGGTTGGTTCTTTGGAAACCCAAAATAAGATTCTCTAACCTTGAAATCCCTGTCTTAGAAAGAACACACAGCATTCGCCGTTGGGAGTAAAGAGGACACACGGGACAAGGAGCGGCCCCTGAGCCCATCGAACAAAGACCACACACAGCAGGTGCGTTCCTCGGGGAGGGGCCTCCAGGAGAACCGGAGCCCATGGGTGAGTGAGGAGTGGGAATCCCGCTGTTGCCCGAGTCCGAGTCCTCCGTCCTTCTCAGCAGCGAGGGCCAGCGGGCTGCCAAGGCCGGGCAAGGCAATATGAAAAGAACAGAATGGCCCAGTTTAACTTGGGAACAACATCCCGGCTCGTTGGCCACCTCGGCCCTGCACGGAGCCCCGGGCCATGCACCTGCGCCTGGGTGCGCCCGCCGCGCTCCAGGGCCGCTGGTGGGCGCTTCGCACGCTGCGCCCGGCCTAACTCACCTCGGCCCCGGGACTTGGCCGCCGGCTTTATGATCCAGATGTTTCGAAGCCCGTCGATCTCCGTCTGCGGGTTCACGGACGTGATTTTGTTCAGCAGAGCCTGGCACTGCGAGAAGTGGTTTCTCGAGCTGGAGATGAAGGCGTCACCGCTGCAAAGCAAGATCCAGAGAGCCCTGAGAGGTCGCGAGGCCGCACGGGGCAAGCGTGGGGCAAGCACGTCCCCCCGCCCCGCTCTGGGGCCCGCTCTCTGCAGTGTTTGTCCGCGAGCAGTAAAGCTGCAGCAGCCGGCTCTGTTAGGCTCAGCGCTCTTCGTGAGCTAGTTAAGAAATCTTTGCCCTCTTTGTGGTCAGAAGACACACGCCAGTGTTCTCCTTTTCTATGGATTGCCCATATCATGTGATACATCTTGAATTAATCTTTGTGTATTTAGAAGACAGGATTCAAGACACACCTTTTTGGTTCACAAGGATGCTGACTGCTCAAGCGTCGTTTAGGACAAGGAGTAACCCTTCCTAGGGGTTGGTCGTAAGTGACCACATGTGGGAAGCTCCATCTCTAGAGGCTGTCCCGGGGTACTGTCTGGTAGTGCCCAGTGGCCCAGGGCTGCCCTCTCTGGATTAGGTGCACTTATAATAGGTCTTGAAATGGGGTAGGAGTTCTCTGATTTTGTTTTTCTTGATCAAGGTTTTCTAGCTTTTCTTAAATCATTTGTATTTCCAAATAAATTTCAGAATCTGTTTGTCAGTTCCTCCCACTCAAGCCCTGGAGGAAAATCCCTGCCGAGATTCCGACTGCGGTTTCACTGAATCTCTACGTTAGTCTGGAAGGAAAAAACCTCCGTATCACTGAGTTTTCTAATTTATGAACATGGTTTTATTACACACACATACTTCTTAGGTCATTAATTTCTATTTAATTTTATAATGTTCTGTTTAGGGTCTCCAACTTACATTATTCTGTTTTCTGGGTATTTGTTGCTATTTGATGTTATCATAGATGGCACGAGAACTCCATTCTGTGATTGCTGTTAGTAGACAGGAACACAGCGCATTTTTGTATGATGACCTGCTGTCTACTGACTTCACTAAACTCACGTAACTTTCTGTAAGATTTGTAAAATTTTCTATATGCACGATCAGGTCATCAGTAAACAGTTTTGCTTCTTTCTGATTTTATGCCCTTTATTTCTTTTTTTTCTGTGCTATTAAACTAAACAGGGCTTTCAGTCCACACTGAATAGCAGTCGTGAGAGTGGGCATTCTTGTCTCATTCTGATTTCAAGGACAACACTTTCAGTACATACTATTAAGAAATATGTTAGCTTTAGAATTTTTAAAAAGATTTTATTTGTTAATTTGATAGAGCTCGCAAGTAGGCAGAGAGGCAGGCAGAGAGAGAGGGAAGCAGGCTCCCCCTGAGCAGAGAGCCCGATGTGGGGCTCGATTCCAGGACCCTGAGATCATGACCCGAGCCGAAGGCAGAGGCTTTAACCCACTGAGCCATCCAGGTGCCCCAGCTTTAGAATTTTTATATAGAAACTTTTCCAATTAAGGAAGTTCCTTTTTCTAGCTCACTTAAAAAAAAAAAAACAGTTAACATACACAGTATTGAATTTCATCAATGTTTTACATCTATTGAGATGATCTTATTTTTTTTTCTTTACCCTTTTTTTTCTTTACCCTTTAAATGTGACAAAATCTACCAACTGACAATTTTTCAAATTTTTTTTATTGTGGCAAAACACATATAACATAAAATTTACCATCTTACCCATTTCAAGTGTGGGTCAGTACTATCAGGAACACTTATATTGTGCAACTATCACCCCCTCTGTCCCCAGGACGTTTTCATCGTCCCAAACTAAAACTCTGTCCCCATTAAACACTCACTCCCCACCCCTCCTCCAGACCCTGGTACCACCATCAACCTTCCATCTCTGTGATCTCCGCTCTAAACACCTCATATACGTGAAATCAAACAGTTTTGTACTTTTCACTTATACATACTGTCCTCAAGCTTCATCCATGTTAGAGCAGGTGCCAGAACTTGCTTTGTAAGGACGGCTGAGGTCCCGCTGATTAACTTTTGAATGTTAAACCAACTTTGAGTTCATGGAGCTTACATCGGACACGAAGAATGAAAACTGTTTGCATTCGTAGACGACATGTCCTATGTGTAGAAAATCCTAAGGAACATACACACACACACACACACACACACACACACACAGAACAAAGTAGTGGAACTAATAAATGGGTTCAGCAAAGTCACAGGTACAAGATCAGTATAAAAATATCAGTTTAGGGTCGCCTGGGCGGCACAGTCGGGTGAACATCTGGCTCTCGGTTTCAGAGCCATGAGACCGAGCCCGCTCTGGGCCCTGCGTTCCGTGTAGTGTCTGCTTGGCTTCCTCACTCCCTCTGCCCCTCCCAGCTGCTCGCTCGCGCTCTCTCCAAAATAAAGAAAATCTTTTAAAAATCAATTATATTTTTATATTCTGCCAACAAAGAATCCTTAAACAAAATTAAGAAAATAATTTAATTCATAATATTATCAAAAAGAACAAAACACATAAGAATACATTTAACAGGGGTGCCTGGGGGGCTCAGTGGATTGAGCCTCTGCCTTCGGCTCGGGTCATGATCCCAGGGTCTTGGGATCGAGTCCCGCATTGGGCTCTCTGCTTGGCATGAAGTCTGCTTCCCCCTCTCTCTGCCTGCCTCTCTGCCTACTTGTGATCTCTCTCTCTGTGTCAAATAAATAAATGAAATCTTTAAAAAAATGCATTTAACAAAAGAAATGCAAGAACACTGAATGCTATAAAACATTGTTGACATACATGTTAAAAGATCTAATCAAGTGGAGAAATAAATCTGTAGACATTAACACATTTAAAAAAATTTTTTTAGTAGGCTTTCCAGTAAGAGCCCCAAGCTGGGCTTGAACTCTTGACCCTGAGGATCAAAACCTGAGCTGAGATCAAGACTCCAATGCTCAACAGACTGAGCCACCCAGGCGCCCTCACGAAATCAACACATTCTTAAATAACCAATGGATCAAAGTAGAAATCGCAAGGGAAATACTTAGAAACAAATGAAAGTGAAGACACGACACATTAAAACATATGGGATTGCTAGTTGTGCTAAAGGGGGAACTTATAGCTATAAAGGCTTATGTAGAAAACAAGAAAAATCTCAAATCAACCTAACTTTGACACTTAAGAAACTAGAAAAAGAATAAACTAGACCCGGGGCACCTGGGGGGCTCAGTCGTTAAGCATCTGCCTTCGGCTCAGGTCATGTTCCCAGGGTCCTGGGATCAAGTCCCACGTGAGGCTCCCTTCCTGTCAGGAAGCCTGCTTCTCCCACTCCCCCTGCTTGTGTTCCCTCTCTTGCTGTTTCTCTCTGTCAAATAAATAAATAAAACCTTAAAAAAAAATAAACTAGACCCAAAGTTAATAGAATGAAGTAATCAATAAAGATTAAAGCAGAATTAATCAAAATAGAGAAAATTAATTAAACTAAAAGTCGGTTCTTTGAAAAGATCAACAAAATTGACAAACCTTTAGCTCAATGGACTTAGAAGAGAGAGAATACTCAAGTTACCAAAATAAAAAATGATATTGGGGGCATTATTACTGCTTCTACAACATAAAAAAAAGATTATAAGAGAGTACTATGAACAGATGTACACCAATGAATTGGATAACCTAGATGAAATGGACAAATTTCCAAGAAACACTAAACCTACCAAGACTAAATTGTGAAGAAACAGAAAAGGGATTGAATCAGGAATCAAAAATCTCCCAAAAAGAAAAGCCCAGGACCTGACAGCTTCATGGGGGAATTCTATCAAACAATTTGAGAAGAACCATACCTGTCCTTCACAAACTAAGGGAAGAGGAGGAAACACTTCCTAACTCATTCTATGAGGCCCATATCACCCTGATATCAAAGCCAGACAAAGACACTGCAAGAAAAGAAAACTACACACCAACGTCCCTTGTGAACATTGATGCAAACATCCTCAACAAATGCTAGCAAACCAGACTCAGCAGCACGTCAAGGGACGGCCCTCCCTAACCAGCGGGATTTATTCCAGGAGTTCAAGGATGGTTCGACATCTGAAAACCAATTACTGTAATATATCACATTCCAGATGAAGGGATAAAAACCCACATGACCATCTCAATTGATGCAGAAAAGGCACTTGACAAAATTTGACACCCTTTCCTGATAAAAACACCTAAGAAACTAGGAATGAAAGGAAACTACCTCAACATAATAAAGGCCACATATGAAAACCTACAGCAATTACCATACTCAATGGCGAAAGACAGGAAGTTTTCTTTTAAGATTAAGAATCAGACAAGGCACACCAGGCTGGCTCAGTCAGTAAAGCATCAGATTCTTAATCTCAGCGCAGGTCTTGATCTCCAGTCCTGTGCTGGGCTACACATAGGTTGTGGAGGCGACTTAAGAAAAGAAAAACAAAGAATAAGGCAAGAACAGCTACTCTCAACATCCAACAGTGTAAGAGAAGTGCTAGCAGGAGCAATCAGACAAGGAAAAGAAATAAATGGCAGACTGGAAAGGAGAAGTGAAATCTGTTTGCAGATTATATGAATGTATATGCAGAAAACCCTAAAGATACCACCAAAAAACCATGTTACCTCTAGTAAGCGGAGTATGAAGTAGCAAGATACAAAGTCAACGAACAAAAATAAACTGCATTTCTGTACACTAGCAAGGAGCAATCTGAGAAGGAAATTATGAAAGCAATTCCACTCACAATCACACCAGAAATAGTAAAATACTTAGGAATTAACCAAGGAGGGGAAAGGTACAACAAAAACTACAAAAATTGCTGAAAGAAATTACAGAAGACACAAATAAATGGGAACACATCCATGTTTATGGATTAAAAGATTTAATATTGCTTAAGATGGTAATAGTACGCAAAATTACCTACAAATTCAATACAATCCCTATTCAAAATCCCAATGATGTTTTTCACAGACATAGAAACACCCACACCCAAATCCAAACAGACTCTCAGGGAGCCCCAAAGAGCCGAAACAATCTTGAAAAAGATCAAAGTGGGAGGACACACACTTCTTGATTTCAAGACTTACTACAAAGCTACAACAATCAAAACAGAGTGTTACCAGCATGAAGACAGAAGCAAGACCAATGAAACAGAATAGAGATCCCAGAAACAAAGCCTCCCACATACAGTCAAATGACTTTTGACAAGGCTGCCAGTACTATCTGACGGGAAAGGGACAGTCCTTGATACTGGGTATGGTACTGGGAAAACTAGATATCCACAATCAAAAGAATGAATTTGGACCCTTACCTAAAGCCAGGTGCAAACAGTAACTCAAAATGGATCAAAGACCCAAATAGAAAGGCCAAAACCTATGAAAATCTTGAAGAAAACATAGGGCAAAATCTTCAAGATGCCGAATTTCTCGATGATATCTTGGATATGACACCAAAGCACAGACAACAAGAGGAAAAACCACACAGACTGACTTCATGAGAAGGTTTAATGTGCGTGTCTGACGATGCAACCAGCAGAGTAAAAAGGAGATGCCCACAGTGAGAGGGACTGGAAGCTGTGGATCTGACAGGCGGCTGACGTCCAGAACACACAGGGAGCCCCTAAAACCCAGCAACAAGGCAACTCAATTCAAAAATGGGCCAAAGAGGCGCCTGGGTGGCTCAGTGGGTTACGCCTCTGCCTTCGGCTCAGGTCATGATCCCGGGGTCCTGAGATCGAGCCCCAGATCGGGCTCTCTCTCTCTGCTCAGCAGGAAGCCTGCTTCCTCCTCTCTGCCTGCCTCTCTGCCTACTTTTGATCTCTGTCTGTCAAATAAATAAATAAAATCTTTAAAAAAAAAAAAAAAAAGACAAGAAAACAAAGATGGGCCAAAGACTTGAACAGACACTTCTCCGAAGGAGAAACCAGATGGCTGATAAGCACATGGAAAGATGATGAACACCACTGAGCATCAGGAAAATGAAAACCTGTAGTGAGATATGGCCTCACATCCATTAAAACATTATTTTCGAAAAGCACAGGAAATAACCAATGTTGGTGAAGATGCAGAGAAATGGGAACCCTGGCATCCAGTTGGGGGGGCACATAAAATGCTGCAGCTGTTGTGGAAAACAGTATGGTAGTTCCGCGAAATATCGAGAATAGCAGTGCCATATTACCCAGAAATCCCATTTCTGGGTACAGACCCAGAAGAATTGAAAGCAGAATCTCAAAGAGGTATCAGTACCACCATGCTCACGGCAGCGTTAGTCACAAGAGCTAAAACGTGCGAGCAACCCAGATGTCCATCAGCAAATGAACAAATAAGCAATATGTACTATATACGTACAACAAAGTAGTATTTATCCTTTAAAAGGAAGGGAACTCGGATACCTGCTACAACATGGACAAAACTTGAGGACGTTATAAGTGAAATAAGCCAGTCACGAAAAGACAAATTATGATTCCACTTCTACGAAGCACTTGGGGGGAGTCCAACTCACGGATTCAGAGAGTGGATGCTGGCGGCCAAGAGCTGGAGGGAATATGGGGAGTCGGTGTTTAGTGGGGACAGACTTCCAGCTTCGCAGGATGAAAAGAGCCATGAAAATGGACAGTGGTGCCGGTTGCACATGACCGAGATACTTAAATGAATTATTTTAAAATGGTTCAGACAGCAAATTTTGTTGCGTTTTTTTATGACAATAAAAACGAAAACAGGGGTGTCTGGATGGCTCTGTTGGCAAGCGTCTGATCTCAATTTCGGCTCAGGCCGTGATCTCCGAGTCGTGGGACGGAGCCCCGCGTTGGGCTCTGGGCTCAGTGCCAAGTCTGCTTGCGATGCTTTCTCTCTCGCCCTCTGCCCCTCTCCCCACTTGCATGTTCTCCAAAGAAATACATAAATGAAATCTTCTAGAAAATGGAAAAGAGAGAGAGAGAGGTGAAGCCAACGACCAGAGCTGACAAACGAGAGGAGATCTGCTGTCGTGTGTGACGCTGTCTGGGAGCGAGGGAGGGTCTGGCTGAAGACCAGCAGCCGTGAGCCCCGACGGCGTCCCGGAGCCGCCGAGGGAAGCCAGAAACAGAAGCCAAGCGCAGGTGCAGGATAAAGTACGGAGACTAGTAACGGTGAGGACGCGTCCGTACTTCGGTCGTAAGTAGGGGCCGTGCTGGCCAGTACGCCTGCCCGGACAAGTGGGAAAAAACAGACAAACCGCGAAACGCACGTCTCTCCAAATGAAGCGGACCAGGTCAGCTACATCGCGGCCCAGAAAACCCCTCTTGGGTGAGCCGAGTCTCTTGGCCATTTTATCCTCCAAGAGTGTTTGCCAAGTCAGGGTGGCAGCGGCGATGCAGGTCCGGCCCAAGCAGAAGGGCTTTCTGGAGGACCAAGAAGCCGCATGACCCCGTCAGCCGGCGTGAAACACCCGAGTCGCGTGATGTTCAAAATACAAGCCACACGGCCTGCTTCCCCCAGGGTGCGAGGATGCTTTGTCTGGGCTGCAAAGACGGTGAGCCCTCCCATGCCTGTGGCACTTGGGGATAAGCTTCTCCAGGGGACAGGGTCGGCAGCAAAACCCTCCAGTCCCCCGCCCGAGACCCTCGGCACCAGAGCGCGGTGAAGCTGCCCGAGCTGCCGCTGGCCCTGCTCCCTGCTTGCCGGCCGGGGCCATCGGCTTGACGCTACGCCTACAACGGAGGAAACGGTGAGCGCCCCGTCTCGGGGGCAGCATGACTTCAGTCCATGCTTCCTTCTTAGACAAGGGGCGGCACACGAAAATTACAGAGACTGAGAAGAGGCTGAAAATCCCGACCGAGTAAAGGGCAAAGACAAACGCCACAAGAAGGCCTCCCAGTGCTGGAGTCAGAACCGGGCAGCTTCGCAGCCAGCCTGGAGACAGCAGGAGACAAGGCCGGTCAGTCTTAAGATGGGTTGATAGAAAATACACAAACTCAACCTCAGAGAGGAAAAAAGGACGAGGGAACCAGGCACAGCAAAGTGACGGGGGAGACGCAGTCACGTGGCCGGCTGTGCGCAGAGCTGGCATCCCAGAACGGGAGAAGAGGACGAGGCAGAAGCAATATTTGAAGATAATGGCTGAGAACGTTCCAAAATTCATGAAAGATTCCAACCCCCCAGATTAGAAGTCCCCAAAATCTCTAGGTAGAGGACATAACAAAGAAAACCACATCTAGGCATAACGAAGTCAGACTTTGGAAAAAGGGGGCAAGCGGGTACTGGGTCTCCAGCCTGCCAAGCGCCCGGCCCTCAGGAGAAGGGGGAAGGCCGGGCTCAGCCTTCAGGTTCCCAGGAAGCAAGAGGCACGGACGGTCCCGGAGAGTCCTGAGGGCCGAGCCGGGCCTTCTGTGGGTCCTGACTGCCCAGGGCCCACCCACGGGGCTCAAAGGAGGTAAAAGGCACGAACAGGGCGGAAAGTGCTCAAGGCGCTGCTACCCAAAGCTGCCCCCAAGGGGGTCTTCCTTTTATGAGCCAACAGGGACCTGCTGGGACAGGCGGCAGTGGGTCTGGGAACCCCAAGACCCAGACGGGTGCTTCAGATGTCCCAGAGGTGGGACTTCCCCGCACAGCTCCTGATGCCGCCCCCAGGTCCCCGGCTCAGGTGAGCCGGCCCGGCGCGTGCCAACTCGTGCCAGCGAGCACCAGGCACCGGGCGCGGCCGGAGGGCTCCGCACAGGCGCGTCTTACTGGACGAGGGAGTAGTACTGCTCTGCCACGTCCTTCCACTCGTCCTCCGTGAGGCCCTTGCCAGCGTCCTCGGGGACATCGATGTCCCGGTGCTCCAGCTGCCCCAGGTAGGCCTGGCACACCTTGCACGCAGTGTCCACGAGCTGTCCCGAGAGGCCTGTGAGCCTGGAGTCCGCACTCTGGGAAGCTGAAACCCAAGCACAGGGTCTGGAGTGGGAACTCCTGCATCCCTGGGCCCCCAGCCCTGGCCAGGCGCGCCTCCCCCGCCGCACACGCCCTCCAACCGGACTCGGGCCACGGCTGGCCATGCAGCACGGCCTCCCAACTTGCGACGAAACTTCTACTTTTCTGGGCAATAACTGCGTATTCAGTAAGAACTTGGGGGCCGTCCTGCCTGACTCCCGCAAGCTGGGGCACACCCGGCGGCTGCCTGCACCAAACTCTTACATCTCGTGCTCCCGGGACCCCGGAGCTGAGCTGGGCCCGAGGGTCTCAGGAGTCCTCCCGTCCGGTGACAGCGAGCCTCCAGGAGCCCAGCTCCCACCCAAGGCAGCCGGCCCACTGGTCCCCAAAGGAGAACGAGTTGACAACCAGCAACTGTTTGGGTGGTTCCTGGCTGGAGCCCGGAGGAGCGAGGGGGCTTGGCAGGTGCACAGAACCAACTCCACACACAGGCGCGGGGCTGGGGGCAGGGGGCGGGTGCCGAGACATCGTGGACTCCGGACCCCCGCAGTTAGGGACCCCGGAGAAAGTGCTGCAGGTTGCATGGCTGACACAGAGATCACAGAGTGTGTCTTTAAACTGTGTTCAGGAGAAATTCCCGGAACATAAAAACAGGCATTTGAACGTGAAAATCTGCACTTCTGCTTTCTGGTCAGGCACAGAGGAGGCTGGATGGTGCCAAACTGTCCTCACAAGTACAAAGTAAAACCAAAGCATCAGCGACTCTTCTTGGCTCCACCGGAGAGCCGAGGTCACGTGGCCAACCATCGCCTGGTCACAGGAGGGCAGCAGACCCAGACCATCACCGCTCTGGGCAACAGAACCCCGAAGCCAAAAAGCTCCCCGGATGCCAGCGCCAGGCGAGGAAGCCTGAGCGACCGCTGAGGACCAGCTAAAGGCTCAGGGTGTGCACGAGTCCGCGTCACAAACCCCGGGTGCTCAGCTGGGGCGGGGGCGTGCGTTGTCGGTCTTCCCTCCAGGACCTTGACCTGGTTCTCACCGTGAATGTGGGAGCAGGGCCCCCCCTTCTGGCAAGAAGGGAAGGTAAGCATCCTGGATGCTGGGGGCCACTCTGTTCTCAGCAAGGCCGTGCCGGAGCCTGGCCTACCCCAGCCCTCCTGCCAGCCTGTCCCACCGAAGGGCAGGAGGACAGAGAAGCACTGGTGGGCCTCGCAGTCCGGGGGCACAGGCTCACCACAGACGGAGCCCTGATCGCGGGACTACAGGACACCGTGGCGGGGGCAGGAGGAACGGGGGGACATGAGTGGGCTGAAAAGACACGCCGTGTGATGACAACCATCACACGTTTGTCCAAAGCCCCACGACGCCCCACACGAGAGGGACCCTCAGCGCCAGCTGACGTGGGCTCGCGGGTCGGAACCAACGTGCCCTCGGTGCGGGCTGCGCGGGGAGGCGGCCGCGGGGCAGGGCGGCTGCAGGACACCCCTGTGCCTCCTGCTCGACCTCAGTGGGAACCACGGACGCTCTCAGAAAGGGAACAGCATGATACTTATTTGGGTTTCATGGGCCTGATGGCACGGCGGCCCTGCACCAGGCGGGAAAGCCCGTCCCTCTCACCCTCTTCTGCGGAGCGGGGACAAGTCCGCCCTGGACCCGCGGCCCCATGGCCCCTCCCGGCACAGTCCTCCTGGCACGGTGCAGCCGCGCCCCCCACACACCTTTCCGGTTGCTGGGGCCGGGGTCACAGGCCTCCCCCCTGCCGCCGGGCTTGCCTCCGCTGTGGCTCTGGTGGCTGACCACCCACTTGAGGATGCTGGAGGCCACCGTGCGCCGGAAGTCGTCTGAAAGGACACCAAGGCCTCGCCCCCTCTGCCGGCACCAGGGACCAGGGGCCTCGGCCAGCACGAGCCATCCTCAGCCTCGCTGCCCCACAGCCCGCGGTGGCCTCCCTCCTGCCCCCACCGCCCTGGAGGGGCGGTTCGCTCTGCCCTCAGCCCACACCTCCAGCACAATCCTTCTCCCTCCGCCCCTGCACAGATGGGAGTCTAGTCCACCGCCAGCCGCCAGCTGCACGCCCCTCCCCTACTCTTCCCTCCCCCACTCAGGGACACGCCCCACGGCGGCCGCTGCGCTTGTCCTTGTCCCTGCTCCTTGCGTCTTCAGCCCCGCGCCAGAGGACAGAAGCCTCCCGCAGACACACTAGGACCCTCCCCATCCCAGGAGCCTCTCCGGGCCTTCCTGGACAGGCTGGCCTCCAGGGCTGCCGGTGTGGACGGCCAGAGGGGCCCTGCCACACACAGCCAGCACAGAAGGCCGCTCTGGGTCCCACAGACAGGCTTGGGGCCAGCCCGGCTCTGAGGCCTGTCTTACCAATTCCACTCCAACCCATGCCCTCTGGGAGGCCCACAAGAAATTCCAGTACCCTCTCGCCAAAACCAAACCCAAGCCTGCTCCCTGCTCATCTCAGTGGGGGCCCCACCGGCCCGGCCCGCAGCTGCTGCCACCGTGGAAAGATCCAGAACGCCCACTGCCTTCCCTAGCTCCTCCAGGGCCCACGGCTTCTCACTTAGTCTCCTTCCACCAGAACAGACCCCGCCCTGAGCCGACTCCTGGCCCCTGTGCCCTGTGGACACTCAGGCGCGAGGCCTCCCTCGTTCCGGGTGTTCACCTGCGCCCCCTCTCTGAGAGGCCCCTGCTCACTGCCCTCCCCTCCCCTGCACTTCTCACCTCCAGACCCCACGGACCCTGCCTTGTCCTGCCCGTATCTGTCTGCCCCTGGGAGCCCCAGGTGGGGTCAGGACCTAAGGCATGGGTGCTGGTAGAGGCTGCATCTCCCCCAGACCAGGTGCTCAGGAAACGCAGTCGCCCCCAAATGAACACTGCCCACCTGCTCTGACCTTCACCTTCTGTCTCTCTTGGCAGGTCAAACCAGGAACCCTCCCTCTGTCCTCAGGCCAGAGCCCATTGCCCAGAGCTGCTCAGACCTGGGTCCCAGGACCACCCGCATGCCGGCCTCCCCCAGGAAGCCAGTCAGAACCAAGTTGCTGGCTCGGGGCTCCATCAGCCTCCATCAGCCTCCCACGCATCCTGCTTCACAGACGCTGCCCGTGGAAGTTTCTGGACCAGTCCTCACCCCTTGAAATGGAGCTGAGCCCCTGGGCCTTGGGACGGGACCAGGCCCTCTGCCATCGGCCCCCACCAGCCCCCAGCCCTGCAGCTGTGGCCCAGCCCCCTCCCTTCCTGCAGCCCCTCAGTGGGAGGTGGACCCCATGATGCCCGGTGGTCTCCGCCTCCGGCCACCCACTTACCCAGGAATTCCTGCTTCTCGCTCTCAGAGCAGAGGCTGTAGCAGCGGGGGAAGAAGGAGTCAGGGTCGGCTTGGACGTACCACGGCAGGCTCCTCATGTTCACACACAGCCCGATCTCCAGAGACAGCGGTGCGTCAGACCCCCACAGGCCACCTGCTGGTCCCCTCAGACCAGCCTGAATGTCCACAGGTCTGGCTGGCGGCACCCATGCCAAAGGGCTCTCGAGCGGGGCGCCTCCTGGAGTAGACCCCTCCCCGGCCTCCCTGCCCCTCCGGCCCCCAGCCAGCTGGCCTCAACAGCAGGGTGACCCCACGTGCAGGCCGGGGCCATCTGAGGGCACAGGGGTGGTGGGTCCCTAACAGGCACTGGGCCTGAGCACCAGGTAGGAGGGAGCAAGCTCCTGGGCACACTCACCATGGGCCCCGTTTGGGGAAAACTGCCATGTGCCCGGGAGCTGCAGGCGTGGAGCTGCTGGGCACACTGGTAGGCAAGCCGCATGGGGTCTTTGCAGGGAGCGCGGCCTGGCTGCCCCCAGGAGGAGGCAGCTGCTGAGGCTGGGTGGGGATGCATGGGGCCAGACCCCCACGGGGAGCCCGGGAGCCGTGCGAGCCTCATCCCTGACCCTCTGTGTCATCCTTGCCCGTTGAGGGGATGGTCTCCTTGTTGCCCAGAAGCCTCTCTACCCCACCTCTCCCACGTGGCTACCGGCAGGCCTGTCCACCCGGGCTGACCCCGCCCCTGGACCTCAGCCCTCGGGGTCACAGGATGGGGCTGCGGGACCAAAAGGCAGTGAGGCCAGGAGGTGCCCATGCCCCCTGCAGCCAGAAGGCTCTGCGCAGGGGAGGTGGCCTGGCTCTCCCTGGGACCCAGGGCCTCCTCCGGACACAAAGTTTATGCCAGGCTCTGGAGGCAGCCACCCCCTCACCCCGCCCCGCCTGAGGTTTGGCCTGCGCACCCAGAGGAAGGACACAGGGCCAAGGGTGCCTGGGGCTCTGGGGGTGCGAGTGGAGCCGGAGCTGGCGGCCTCTAGACACTGGCAACAGGAAGCGTGGCCTCTGCCTGGGCAGAGGTCTTCCTGGGGAGGAGCCCGGAGGTGGCCAGTCCACACGCGCCCCCCCCAAACTCAGCCACGGAGCTGCAGGAGACTAGGTGCCGCCCTGCACCTTCCCTGCCCACCGCCCCCTCGCCCCACTCTCACCTTGGTGGTGAAAGAGGCCGTCTTCCCGTAGTGGTTCAGCATCTGGTCGCAGCTCAGGCTGTGATAGTCGACGACGTCCCTCCTGATAGTCCAGAGGAAGTACGGCATTTCGTTTTTTACCAACCTGGACTGGCAAGAGAAAGACCCTTACCAATACCCTCTACCCAAGCTTCGTATCTCTGGGTGTTGGGATGTAAGCAGGAGTGAGGGAAATCAGCATTTTCCCAAGTTTTTCTTTGAATTCTAGCTAGTAGCGTACACAGTAAAATCGGTTTCCGATGGCGGATTCAGGATGTCACTTCCGTGTGACACCAGGCACTCATCACGAGGGCCCTCCTCGAGGCCCGTCCCCCCACAACCTCAGCGTGTTCTCTCCTTAAGAGTGTCTTGTGGTTTGCCCACCTCTCTCTTCCCTCCCCACGATCGCCTGCTCTGTTCCTGAAACGTCACGCGCGAGCGAGGCCGCGTGGCGCGTGTCTTCCTCGGGCTGGCTCGCTCCGCTCAGCGTCCTGCCTTCGAGCCCATCCACGTCGCTGCCGATGGCAAGGCTTCATTTCCGATGGCCGCGTATAATCCCACCATAGATGTGAGCCACATCCCTCACCCGTCGTCTGTCCGCGCACATCTGGGCTCTCCCCCAGGTGCTACTGCAGGTGACGTGCTGCAAGCCTGGCGCAGGTGCCCCTTTGCATCGCTGCGTCGGTGCCTTTGGGCAAATACCCACGAGTGCAGCTCCTGGGTCAGAGGGAAGCTCTACTTTTAGCTTTTTGAGGTGCCTCCATACTGTGTAAATCAGGTATTAAATGACACTGAGGTGTGCGTTCTGTGTCTCTCTGGTCTGGAAGGTTGGCGGCCACGTTCCCTGGGGGGCTACGGTGTGCCGCACTGGGGGTCACTGCCCGCACACGGGGGCTCTGCGCTTGGGAAGCAAGGCCAGGCTCTGCACCGAGAGGGGCCCCTGTGCGTGCAGCTGCGTGAGGTCTGAGCTGCCCGCTCCATGGGTGCCCCTGTGGGGCTCAGGAACATGCCACATGTGGGCGTGGTGTGAGTGCACTGCCTCCTGTCCCGGAGACTGTGGGAGACAGCCTCCGCCCTTGCCCCCACTTTGGAGCAGGTGGCCAGGGCCAATGGGGCACGGGGACCTCACCGTACGGCCGCAACTAGACCCAGGGCAGCCCGGGCAGCTCTGATTTTATGTGCACAAACCAAGCACCTGTGTGGTCAAAATTTCTTCCCAAACAGATACGAGGAACGGAGCAGCTTTCCAAAATTCTGACGCCCTGAAGACCCCACAGGGCCATTCTCCGCAGTCCAGCATCTGAGGACACACCTACTCTTCTGCAACACGGGATGGTCTACCGTGACCCCGGGTTAGGGCAGGACTGGGCTCCCCCTGCCCCAGTGCCAACAGGAGCGCCCGGAGGGAGGGGGGAGCTGGCCACCAGCATCACTTCCCAAACTTTATCCCAGAGCTGGACTCGCAGCCCACCTTCCTACTCGCAGCAACATCCGAGCTTCTGCTGTCACTTTCTGGCATGAGTCTCATTTGTTCAAGGTGGCATCAGCCGTCAGACAACAGTATGAAGGGCAGCACGCAAGTGCATGTCACACATGGGTGCACATGGACACACACGAGCACACACGCACACACAGATGCACATGTGCGCATGCACACACGCGTGCACACGGAGATGCACACACGTACACGGGTGCACTCGGACACCACAAGCTCAGCAGCCTGGTGTGACTGGCTTTGCCACCTGTCCCCAGGACAAGGCCCAGGGACGGTGACAGTGTGAGGGGCGTGGGGAGATGGGGGCCCATCCGGGCCGCGGGAGCACGGGGTGGAGACCTACCATCACATCATGGATGTCGTCTATCTTCTCCAGAGCCGCTTCTTGATTTTCTTTGCCTTCAGTGTGTTTATGTTCTGCAAACATGACCCCCGGAGAGCCGTCAGCAGGTCAGGGCCTAAGCCCCTCGGCGCGGCCCCCATGCCACTTAGCCAGCAGCCGCCGCGGCCACAGCGCACTTGCCAACTCCGCGGCAGTGCATCCCCAGGGCACGTTCGCGGGTCCCGACACGGGGCAGGGCGGCATCAGGCTCAGGCTACGTTGACCCGCCCCGGGGTCCACCACTCGGGCCCTCTGCTGGGTGCAGTGTCAGGGTCGGGCCACACCTGGGGGCCAGACAGCCTGGGGATGAGTGGGGTGGGGCGGGGCGCAGGGAATGGGATGGTGACAAGGTTCACGTGGGTCTGAGCCGCCACGTGGGAGCCGGCCCTGTGCAGACGCCAGGGCCAAGTATGCACAGATGCTGTCTGCAGTGGGAGGCGGGACCTGTGGGGACCTGGGGCCAGAGGAGGGACACACAGGTTGAGGCCCCTGAAGGACGGTGACAACGGCCTAGACACGGGAGGAGGTGGCCTGTTGTGGGCGTGGATGGGGGGACCAGGTCTGGAAAGCACAGGCCTGGTGTGGGGCTGGCTAGGGAAGGCAGGCCAGGAGGGCAACGGCCCCAGGGAGACCCCCGCACACGCAGGAGAGGCCCGGGTCATGGGCCCTGAGGGCCAGAACGGCACTCCCCGGAGAGGTGTGACAGACACACATGAGAGCCTTACACCGAGGGACAAGACACCTTCGATACTCTACCAGTCACCCCTGCATTGTCATCGTCCGCATTCGGGATGACCTTGGGCAAAAAGTGGAACTTCTTCTCCACCCAGCCCTTTCTTCGAAGGGTGGCCCGTATCACCGGGTAGTGCCCGTAGATGGAGAAAATCTTCTTTTCCTCAAATTGCAAGAGCAGATTTTAAATTAAAGAATGAAAGGCAAGACAGTTAATTGTCTGTGAGAGGAGGACCCTCAAGTCCCGCTCCAAGAGGAACATACGGAAACACCGAGAGTGCACACACACGCACACACACACACGCGGGCACGGAGCAGGGCCCCACCGTGTGCACACTCATTCCTTGTGCGCCTTGCCCTCTAACGCTTTCTTTTCTCTACGAAGGTGACAGTCTCAGTCTCTCATGCTTGGGGGTGAGGGGATGGGTGCCTGAGGTTCAAGGAGTGAGAGGGAAGAGCCATTCAACCAGCCAAGAAGGGCTGGAGGGAGAGGAGGCCAACAGTATGAGGCCAGCACAGGGGCTAGGGACTCTGCCTGTGAGTGTGGAAATGAACACAGCTGCCTGGGCACCAGGAAGAGAGACAGCAGCAGGTGGTGTGCACCCAGGTCATCCCAGCTGAGGGATGGGAGACGGGAGAGTGATGGTCATGCTAGAGCCCCTGGGCCCATGTTGCTGAGGTCCAGCCTGCACACCTTCACCTGGACAGGGTCCCAGAGTGCAACAGCCATAGGGCAGGGTCAGCAGTTAGCTTAGTGCTTCACAAGTTTGTGGGAGCAGGTAGGGAGGGCTGGGCAGGAGGGGAATGGCTCAAACTCATGGTGTCCTTAATTAGATGACTTTGAACAAATCAAAAGACAGACTCTTGTGGGTGGGCCTGGCCTAATCAGGTGCACCTCTTGAAAAGAGGGTCCAGGGCAACCCTGAACTTGGAGACTCAGAGCAGCAGAGACTTTCTCCCCACGGTCAGCTCTGAAGAAACCAGCATTTCGGCCACAAGGGAATGAGCCTTGCCAACCAGCCCAGGTCTGAAGGAAGATCCCTTCCCAGCTGAGCCTCTGGATGAGACCCCAGACCAGCTGATGCCTCATTTCAACCCCGAGGAACCCTGAGCAGAGGACCCCGCAGAAGCTGTGAGATAACAAATGGGTATGTTTAAGCTCATGGTGATTTGTGACCCACATCGGCAGTCGACATACCCTATAGTTCCCACAAGGAGGACCTGCACGCCTCTCCCAGGAACACGCGCAAGGAAGCTTGTGCCGGGGCTGGAGGCTGTGAGTCCAGGGCACAGGAAACACCCAGGAAACACCCAGCAGCTCAAAGGACCTCTGTCAGCCTCCTTCTGTGCAGGAAACCTGTCCAAAGCCTGCCCTTGTCCCCCACAGGGCTGTGCACCAGGATGGAGGGATGGGATGACCTTGGTCATGGAGGGACTGCAGTGATGCAGAGGCAGGCAGGGAACGTGACCAGCGGCAAGAGCATCAATACCCTGTGCCCCAGCCAGAACCCCAGCCATGCTTACGGTCAAACTGAACGACCTTGGAAAAGCAGACTGTTTTAATGAACAGAATAAAACTCCTCAGGGAACCACAAAAGGAAGGAAAACAGAGCATAAGACCTATAAGATATAAGAGGGGAAATGGAATCTATACTGTGATCAGTCCACAAGGAGGCACAAAATGAGGGGAAGCCGACCAGACAAGACAGACGGGACAAGGGAAGGAGCCAGGGACACAGGGTGACGCCCGAGGACCCCAGGGGTGCACTTGTGGATAAAGACAGCGAAGGCCCCAGGAAGAAGGTGAGGCGTGCTGGCTGGATTTCCAGAACCCCAGTCCACGCTGTTTACAAGAGAAGTCAAAGGCAGTCACGTACAGGTCAGTAGAACATAAGAGGATCTAAGCATGAGACAAAGCAGCCTTTGGGACAAAAGAAACCCCTAAAGTAAAGAAAATTGCACCATAATTTACAAAAAGATTGAATTCCCCAAGAAGGTACTTTTGTCTGCTCCTGCTAAGAGAGCGATAAATTATATAAAGTGAAATCTGACAACCACAATGTGAAGGGATCCACACTGACCAGGGGTATCTAACGTGCTTCTCTCAGTGAGAGACAGACCCGCAGAGCAGAGGGTCCAGTCGGCCTCAAAGACTTGAACCGTGCAGACAGCCAGCTCTGCCCAGTCGGCTCTCCTGGACATGCCCAAGACGCTGGGCATCAAGCAAGTCAGAACACATTTAGATGCAGATGACGCTCTCCACCGTATGCAACTGAACTAGAAATCAGTAACAACATAATTAGAAAAAACCCCAGCATTTATCCAAAGGATACAAACATAGCGATCTGAAGGGGCACGTGTGCCCCAATGTTCATAGCAGCAACGTCCACAACAGCCAAACTGTGGGAAGAGCCCAGATGTCCAACGACAGATGAACGGACAAACATGTGTTGTAGAGACACAGTGGAATACTATGCAGCCATCAAAAATGAAATCTTGCCCTTTGCAGCGACATGGATGAAACGGGAGGGTGTTATGCTGAGTCAGAGACAGACAATGATCACAGATCTTGTCATACATGGAATTTAAGAAACAAAAGAGGAGCATGGAGGGAGGAAAATAAAATAAGACGAAATCAGAGAGGGAGACAAACCACAAGAAAACCTGAACTCTAGGAAACAAACTGAGGGCTGCTGGAGGGAGGGGGTGGGACAGGGTAACTGGATGACGAGCGCGAAGGAGGGGACGGGATGGAATGAGCATGAGGTGTTATATGCAGCTGATGAATCACTGACCTCTACGTCTGAAACTGAAAAGGCACTATATGCTAATTAAGTTGAATTTAAATAAAAAGTAAAAAATAATAAAATAAAAAATAAAATGAAAAAATTGTGTATGTGAAAAAAATAGAAAAAAAACAGAAGTATAGACATGCATGAACTCTACTTTTAAGGAACTCCCAATCAATGAGAAGTAATAATATGAATCATAAATACTTCGAACTACATCTCAACAGAAGTATTATAACACAGAAGCCTGTGGAAGCAGCTAACGCAATGCTTAGAGGGGTGCCTGTGGCCCTGGATGTTCAGCTGTTTTTAGGTTTCAGGGGAAAACCCTCGAATTACCAAGCTGGTAGGCTGGTCTGTATGACGTTGCCGAGAGCACGCACAGCTGCAGGGACCTGGTGGGAGGCAGGGTCCCGCTCCCCAGTGCAGGGCGGTTGGCCAGTGCGCAGCCGGTGCGCCCAGCCCATCACACAGTGACCCTGCACTGGGGACCCCAGCTCCGCAGCTGTGCATTGGGCCTCAGGAGCAGGTCCCCACAGGTGATGTGCCAGATGTCCCCGCTCCACTCGCCCGCCTCCTGAGCAAGGGCCCAGCGCAGCAGCGCAAAGCCCCAGAATACGGCCCTCCCCCGGCAAAGGCTGCTGGTGCTCTCAGGGTCGCAGACGGGCCCTCCACTCCCGGGTAGAAAACACCAGCACCTACCGCCTCCCCTCTCCCCCCCAGGCCAGCGACCGCCCACAGCTGGAGAGCTCAACGCATCAAAGGCAACCCACTGGCTCTCCAAGTCTCCGCATTTAAAAAGCCTCCTCCCCCACCTTGGGGTGCCCCGCTGGCTCAGTCTGAATGGCCTGTGACTCTTGACCTCAGGGTCGTGAGCTGGAGCCCCATGTTGGATGAAGAGGTTACTGGAGTAAATGAAACTGTATAAAAGTGTCCCTCCAGCCCCAAAGGGCATTTACCTTGATGGCCTTTTCTGTTAATTGTCTTGCTATTTTGTATCTGTCTAATTTGGGGGAAGAAGTCGAGTCTTGGGAAATTCCTCGTTTTAATTCTGCAGGAGAGAAAGAGACATCCAGGCAGAGGTAAAAGTGCATAGGGTTGCTTGGGAAGGAAGCCCAGCCCACCTCCGGCCCCCAGACCCTCCCCAGCAAGCCCTCAGCATCCCCGCCAGGCTGTACCCCCCCGGCCGGCCATCCCCAGGCGATGCCCTCTCTCAACCCCCAGCCCACCAGCCCCGGCAGCTCTGGCTTGGGCACCCTCTCTCCTTGCTGGGTGCCCCACCCCTTTGTGGCCACACCACACCACGACCACCCCCCTCCGTCTCCGTCTGGGCCATCCCTCCCTCTCCTTCCCCTGACTCTGGCCACCAGGCTCCCAGCAGCACACACCAAATTCTAGTGCAAACACCTTAAAGATTAAGATGAAAGCCCTCCTCTCTGCACCCCCTCCCCTCCATACCCCTGCGTTCTGCCATCTGCTGGGCTCCACCGGGGGCACCGCTCAGCTATCATCATACACACATAAGCCTATCCTGTGGTCACTCCCCTGGGCCCTGGCTCCTTGGACCACCAGACTCTTGGCCAGCCGGCCCTGCTCCCGTTGGCACCCCTCCCCTCCTCACCGCGGCCGCTTCTCTCTCCCTAGGCCCTAACCTTGAACTGCCCGGGCTTTGACCTCAGACTCCATGCTTCCAGTCCATACGCACTCCCTGGGCCAGCTCACCTTGTCAAGTGGCTTTCAATTCCACCACACCCAGGCCTTCCCCACACACCACGTGACCTCCTGACACCACCGGGACTCCCAGCACCTGGATGTCCAAGGAGCATCACAGGGGGACAGGCCAGCAGCAGACACCCATCCACCCACCCGCTGCCCCTCCTCCCTCCACGGGCCCCGGAGACCCACATCCGCACAGCCAACTAATACAGACGAAAGCAGCAACACCCTTGGCGGGGGCGGGGGGGCACCAACAACGGCAGGTCCACATGCGGAAAACAAATCAAACCCCAGCTGAGGACACGCAACAGTTCATCTGCTGCAGACCACGGGCCTCCACGTGAGAGCTAGACACACGAAGCTTCTGGCAGAAAGCACCAGCCGTAAAAGTTAACGTTGGGAAGATGACGTGCTCTGCTCTGTTAAGGAAAGGAAAACGCAAAGCACCAACTGGGAAAACATATTCTCAGTGTAGACGTCCCACGAAGCCCAGCACGGAAGAAGTACACTGAGTGGCTCCGTCCATGTGGGGTCCGTGGTGCCAAAAGCCAGGAGAGAGGGAGGGTGGGAGGGGTTGGGAGGCACAAGGACACGGCCCCCGGTACCCCCGGTGCAAGAGCATGGGCTTAGAATGAGCAAAGCCACGGCTGGCAGAACGACAGGACAGGACACGGAAGCCACAGACATGTGCCATGCACGTGGGGCTGTCAGGAACCGAGGAGGAGACAAAGGTCTGCGAGGACAAAGATAGCAACATCGCCGCGTGAGCACACCCAGAGCCCCTCACCCGCCTCCAGGAGCACACACCAACGGCAGCGTTAGGGAAAGCACACCTTCGAGAAGGTTGGGTGGTGAGCCGATCGCCCTCTGGCCACAGCGACTGAGTCAGGGGTCAGTAACTGAACAAGGCAACCGGCGGAAAACTCCGGCACAGTCCGTACATGTGCGCCAAGTGACCCACGGCCAGACGAATTGAGGTGGAAAGCACTGCGTACTTCTTAGCTAAATGATGATTAAAACACCAAACATCAGATCTCTGGGCTGTAGTTAGGTTGTATTTATGAAGAGATTTTTAGCTGTAGATGCGTATATTCGAAAATAGCAAAGGCTAAAAACAGTGAGTTAAGCGTCCGTCTCAAGATGTTAGCAAGAACAGTAAATTCAAACCCAAAGAAATACAAGAAAATTAACAGAAAGGAGACACTGATGAAATATTTTTAAAAATCCAATAGAGGATTAGTCAAGCCAGAGGTTTTACAACTAATAATATTAAAAAACAATTGATGAGGGGCCCCTGGGTGGCTCAGTGGGTTAAGCCTCTGCCTTCGGCTCAGGTCATGATCTCAGGGTCCTGGGATTGAGCCCCGCATCGGGCTCTCTGCTTAGCGGGGAGCCTGCTTCCTCCTCTCTCTGTGCCTGCCTCTCTGCCTACTGGTGATCTCTGTCTGTCAAATAAATAAATAAAATATTTAAAAAAAAACAACAATTGGTGAGACCAACTTACAAAAAAGACAAGAGGCATAAAATGCCGTTTAAAACCTTCCCATCAGTACAACTCCAGGGCTGATGGCTTCGTGGGGGAATGGTACAGACATCTCGTCTCGTACAACACATTTTGAAAGTAGAAAAGGCCAGCACGTTCCAGGGAAGGAAGGTCCCAGGCAGAGTGACTCACACACACAGATGACAGAACCATACACATCACGGTCGCCTGGTGTCATTTCAAGGCCGGCTTAGAAAAGCTTTGTAAACTGCACCACAGTAAGAAGGTCAGGAAAAGTCACAAATCCCATCTCCACAGACACAGAGAGTCTTAATTATCCCCAATTTCCATTTAGCTGAAAACTCGCAGTGAACGGAGACACACAGGAGCAGCCCAGAAGTGACCCTCCGTGGCACCCGGCCTTTGGTTTCAAGCCCAGGGCTGCCCTGGCTGGAGGGATCCGAGCTCTCAGGAGAGCTGGGATTCCCGGGCTGGGACCCTAGGAGCCTCAGGTGACCTCGGGGCATCTTGACGTCCTTACAGACTCGGATGGGGGACACAAAAAGATGCAGAAGCGGCGTGCAGAGGCGGGATCCCCCAGTGCAGAGCGCTGGGAGCATCACGGAGTATGATGGTCACTGGCCAGACCCAGTCCAGACATCCGGTAGACGAGAGAGAGAGAGAGACACGCAAACACAATCCTCCCCCTTGGCCATAAGAGACACCCGCACCTTCCCTGGAAACCCGTGACTTCGGGGCAGGAATCCGCACCCAGGCACACCTTCCGGAAAGATCAGGACTTGACGGAGGCTGAGGAGAGGGCAGCTCCTTGTCTCTAGCCTTCCCGGCTATTCAAGGCACCTGCCCGCCCCCGGGAGGGGTGGGGAGGGGCGGGTGAGCGGGTGCAGCAGTGGTGGTGATGCCAGAGCACCTAGGGGCCGGACGACATCTTGTGCCCAGGCCCATGCGCCTCCCTTGGGAAGTGCCGGTCAACCTCTGGCCCACCTCCTGCCCAACCTCCAGTCCCATCGCAGAGGGATTTTCCCCCACCCCCACTCAGGGGCTTTGGACCGTCACCAGGTGCCCCAACACAGCTCCTCATGTGGCCACGGGACACACAACCCTACCACGAAGGGGTCTGGCCAGCACTGATCTAGCGACTGGCGGCAGCACCGGTGACGGCACGGCCAGATGGCAGGGGCAGGTCAGAGCCGGAGCTCCACCTCCCAGGAGTCTTGGCAAAACACTTGGCAAAACCAAAGGCCACTCTCATCAGGTCCACAGAGGGGGCAGAGGAGAGTAAACCAGCCCAGGCAACAGCCAGAAGAGTCCCGACGCAGGACTTGCTCCAGAACAGGCTCAGATCCTGGAAACACAAGGCGAGAGGAGTGGCCACTCCGGAGGACACGAGAGGGAACAGACGGGACAGCCTGATGGGGCATGTGGTTCCCGACCACGTCTCAGTCTGAACAAACCGACTCCGGGCTTCCTAGGGAAATACAATGTATTCTGGGTGCTGGATTTTAGTGAGGAATTACTGTCCATCTGATCAAGTGTGGAAAAGGAGTTTAGTTATAAAATGTCACTTAGAGATACTTAGTAAATATTTAGATAACACTAATATTTACTAGTAAATAGTAACAAAAATTTCATAAAGTCATTATTAAAGACAAAAGAGAGGTACTCTCTAATATTAAAAGGATCAATTTGTCAGGGAGATATAAAAATTCCGAAAGTAGGGACACCTGGGTGGCTCTGCCTTCGGCAGAGGTCATGATCCCAGGGTCCTGGGATAGAGCCCTCCTTGAGCTCCCTGCTCAGCGGGAGTCTGCTTCTCCCTCTGCCCCTGATGCCTCCCCTTCCCCACTTGTGCATGCACTCTCTGTCTCTCAAATAAATTTTTAAAAACTTAAAATAAAAAAGAACGATTAAACAAAGAATCAGTAGACTCTAGCAGATTTGCACACCGTGATTAACCAGCTGCACTTAAATGACGTAAATGGACACCATGTACTGCAACTTGAGACACACATTTTCTTCATTTACTGTCTTCCACCACAGATTACATCCTGGCCCATAGAGATTCTCAATAAATCTCAAAGGATTGAAATGATGTAGTAAGTTCTCTGACAACTGTTAAATCAAACTACAAGTTAATAACAAAAAGGTAGCTAAGAATTTTCCTAAATGTTCCAAACTTAAGCAGCACACTTTAAAAACATGGACCAAGGGCGCCTGGGTGGCTCAGTGGGTTAGGCCTCTGCCTTCAGCTCAGGTCATGATCTCAGGGTCCTGGGATCGAGCCCCGAATGGGGCTCTCTGCTGAGCGGGGAACCTGCTTCCTCTTCTCTCTCTGCCTGCCTCTCTGCCTACTTGTGATCTCTGTCAAATAAATAAATAAAATCTTTTTTTTAATTAAAAAAAATAAAATAAATAAGAAATAAAAACATGGACCAAAGGAGAATCTCAAAAATGATTTGAGCTTAATGATAATAAAAATATGACATATCAAAACATTATAATGCAGCTAAAATAGTGATTAGAGAGAAATTTGTAAATTTAAATTCATATATTAACAAATGAAAAGCTATCTGAGCTACCATCTAAACAGGCTAGCAAGGGAACAATTAAACAAAAAGAAAGTAAAAGAAAGAAAATAATAAAGAGCAGAATTCAGTTAAATAGAAAACAAATGTGCCATAGAGAAAATTAACAAACCAAAAGTTGGATCATTGAAACAATTTTTTAATTGATAAACTTTTTCTAGATCAAGAAAAATGAGAAAACACAAATATACAATATCAAGAATGAAAAAGGGAACATCATTACTGATTATACAGATGTTAAAATAAGATATTATGAACAACCACATGCCAATAATTCGACAGTTCATAGGAAATTAACATTTTCCTTGATAAAAACAGCTTTATCAAAACTGACCAAAAAACCTCAGAAAATCCAGGTAGGCTTATTTTTGGTTAAGAAATTAGTTCCATAACTAAAAACTTCCCATAATGAAAACTCCAGGTCTAGATGGCATCACAGATCAATCTTTCCAAACATTAGGGGGGGAAATATCTTATATGAGCCCTCTCATTGAATAAGGAAATAATAAACCCTTTCAATTCCTTCTTAGGTGGTCATAAATTTAATACCAAAACCTAACAAGGACATTATAATAAAAGAATAGCACCGCCAACTCATTCATAAAAAGAGGCATAAAAATCCTAAACTTTGTAACTCAGATCCAGTTGTACAAAACAAGACAATATGACCATGTGAAGTTTATTCCAGGAATACAAAGTTGGTTTAATATTTGAAAATCCATCAACATAATATACCACATTAGTAGACTAAAAGTTAAAAATACATTATCATCTCAATAGATGCATGATAAAGCACATGATAAAATGTTATAACTATTCATTAAAAAATTTATCAGTAAACCAGGAATAAAAGAGAACTTCCTTTAAAAAGCCTAGAGCAGCAGCATACTTCATGGTGAAATATTGAATGCTTTTCTCCCTCAGTTTGGGAGCTAAAAAAGTTGTCCGTTAGATCACTTCTGTTCAACATTATACTGAAACTACTAGCCAATGCAATAATGCAAGAAAAGGAAATAAAATATCTAAAAACTGAAAAGATTTACAGATGATGACTGTGTATGTAAGAAATCTCAGTGAATCTACTAGCTATTAGAACTAGTTAACAAAGTGGGGGTGCCTGGGTGGCTCATCGAGTTAAAGCCTCTGCCTTCGGTTCAGGTCATGATCCCAGGGTCCTGGGATCGAGCCCCGCTTCGGGCTCTCTGCTCAGCAGGGAGCCTGCTTCCTCCTCTCTCTCTACCTGCCTCTCTGCCTAATTATGATCTCTGTCTGTCAAATAAATAAATCTTTAAAAAAAAGAACTAGTTAGCAAAGTAACCAAATGCCAAGTCAGTACAATAAAATTAATTGTATTTCTATATATGCAGAATAATTAGAAAATGAAACTCAACAATGTCATCTCTAAAAAACATCACATATCTAGGAGTAAATCTAACAAAAGGAGTCTCCCATATCTGTACTCTGAAAACTACAAAACACTGTTGACAAGAATCAAAGAAATAAATGTTCCTGGGTTGAAAGACTCAATATTGATAAAATGTTAAGTTTCACGCAAATTGATCTATGGATTCAATGTAACCAAAATCAAATCCTAGCAGGATTTGTGTGTGTGGGTGTGGGTTAAATTAACAATTTGATTCTAAAATTTATATGGTAATGCAAAAGTCTAAGAAAACCTAAACAAATCTTGAAGGATAAAGTCAGAAGACTCACACTACAAAATATTAAGACTTATTATAAAGCTATTGGAATTAAAACAGGATAGTATGGACTCAGGATAGGCAAATAAATCAATAAAAAAGAATGGAAAACAAAAAATAGGTCTAGGCCTGATTTTCCACAAAGGTGAGGTTGCAGGGCCCACCTGGGTCAATTAGATATTCACATGGGGGAAGACTGAATGTTTGCCCACCCACTCCTACCTCACTCCAGAGGAAACAATCCCTGTGAATTGTTGAGGTGAATATGAAATATTACATTATAAAGTTTCCAAAGGAAAACAGGATACTGTTTTCTGGACGATGGGGTGGATACAGATTTCCTAGTAAGACTCAAAAAAGTACTACCTATAGAAGAAAAGATTGATTATTAAAGGTTCTTACAACTAAGAAGTTGATTTTCAGATGGACTCGTAAATTGCTGGAAACACCAGCCAGGGACCAGAAGGTCCTTATAATCCATCTAACCGACAAAGAACTGATGTCCGTCCAGCAGAGGCCAAGAGCTCCTACCACTCAAGAAGGAAAAACCACAACTCGGTTAATAATGGCCGAAAGACTAGCACGGATACTCCACAAAGACCCCAGAAAGGAAAGTGGAGTGGAAACCACAGTGAGGCGCCCCGCACACGCACCCAGTGCCCAGAATGAATGAGACGAGGCCCACCGCTGGCCTGGATGGGGAACAGCTGGGCCTCTTACCCCCGCAGTGGCCTAAAGCTGAGCAGGAGCCCGCCCTGGACCCCGCGAGCTCGCCCTCAGGTGCGCCCCGGCGAGAAGGAGCGCACGGGCAGGAAGGGTTAGGGTTAAGTTTAGGGTTAGCGCCCATTTACTCAGCTCTAGGGAAGGGCTGGCCGGCGCTCCTCCGGCCCCGCGCCCTAACCCAAGCAGCGGACTTGGCGCCCCTTTCCCAAGCTGAGCTCTGAAGTCGACCCCCTTGGAGGGCAGGAAGGTGGAGGACAGGGGGCCGGAGGGGGCGTGGCGGGGCGTGGTGGGGGTCTCCGGGAAGGGGCTTTACGCCCCGGGTCCCGAGTCAAGCCCGGGCCCAGCGCTGCGTCTGAGCCGCGAGCCCCCGCCCCGTTCGCGCCTCGAACCGCGAGCCCCCAGACGGCGGGCGAGGACGACACTGACTGTTCTCTTCTCTGGGGTCTCCTTCCAGGGAAGCGGACGGGAGCCTCTTCCTCTCTGCGGGCTCCATGCCGGCCTCCGGCAGCTCGCCCCAACTCGCGCCCGCTCGCGCCCCTGCAAGGAGAGGGGGCGTCGGCGAGGGCTCCGGGCCGGAGGGCATCCCGCGGGGCGGGGGGGGCGGAGCCGGGCTCCGGAGCCAGGCTGAGGAAGCGCAGGTGTAGGGTCGGGGCAGTCTGGGGGTAGAGGGGCCAGTCTAGGTGCGCAGGGGGAGGTCTGCGCTCCCGAGGGCGAGGTGAGGGCGCGGGCGGGTCCGGGCGCTGGGCTGGAGGCCGGGCGTCCGCGGAAGAGCGGTTCTGGGCTTCCGAGCACCACGTCCGGGAGTCTGGGGCCTGGGGGAAGGGGCGGGGGAGTCCGCGGTCCCTGCGCTGGGGCGGGCGCGTCGGGGATCCCGAGGGCTCTAGCCCGACGGGGCGCGGGGTGCTGTCCGGCCTCCGCAGGGGCACAGGGACGGGGTTCCGAGGCGAGCGGGGCCGGGGCTCACCCGGGACCGACCCCGTGGCGCGCGCTGCGCCCCCGCCCCCCGCCGCGCCTCCAGGCGTCCCCTGGTTGCCCGGGGCAACGGGCCGGGTTCGCGCGGCGCATTGTGCAAGCCTCGCCCGCGGGGGGAGCCGGGCGCGGGGCCCGGGGGCCGCGGCGCGGCGGCCGGCGCGGGGCGTGGGGCTGCGCGGGCGCGCCGGCGGCGGGGGGCGTCCGGAGCGGCTGCGGCGGCGCGTGTGGGACGCGGGTCCCCGGTGGCCGCGGTCAGTGGCGTCAGCGCTGGACCCGGAGCCGGGGCTGCCATCCGAGGCGTGGGGGTGGGGGCCGGGGCGCCGAGCCATGGCGTCCTCGGGGAAGGACTGGGCGCACCGCCCCCGCTCGGGGTTCCCGAAGCCCCATCAGGCGCAGGGCTGTTGGTCACAAAGACCCGCCCTGGCGGTCAGAGGCCCCCAAGTCACAAAGAGCGAGAGTCACAACCGGCCCCTGACCCCACCCCACGCTCCTCTCAGACCCTCACTCCCGGTGCCCCACAACGGCCGGGCGGGGGGCGCAGAGACCGAGATGCAGTCCCTGGGGTGGCGATGCCAGGCAGGGGGCTGCACACCGGGTGTCCCCACGTGGGCTGTGGGCAATCACTGCCAGCAGGGCAGCTTTCCCGTCCTGGGGAAGAACCCGAGGGGGACTTTGTGTCCCCAGGGTCATTCATGGGGCCTCCCTCCCCACCCCCATGTTCCAGCTGCACCCCAGGGTCCCACACCAGCCAAAGTCCCTGAGCCCTTTTCCTCCTCCTTCCTCCCTTCCTCTTTGTGGAGGGAGAAGTGAGTAAGAAAGACCCACCTACCCTATTGCTCCAAGTAAATTTCCAAAACCTACCTATCTTTATTTGGTTTTAAATCATCTTTATTTTGCACTTAACTTCCCAAGATGGCCTAAAAGTGAGGTTCCATTCTCTGCATTAGCTGTGGCAGTGTGGGTGGGCAATGCTCTAGGCAGGAAGGGGTCTTTGTGCCCCTTTCCAGTCTTCACTAGCAAGCCACAGGTGCTCACCAGTCCCCACCTCCACGTGGCCTCCCAAAAATCACAAAATAAGGAATGGCCTCACCTCCACCAGCCCTCCTATGCTTTACCTCTCATTTTTCTTAGAACCTGGGCAAAGTGATCCCTGAGAGACCCAAAATGAAAAAGGCCACGTTTACATGTTAGCATTTATTGCGCAGGAGATACTGAACTACATCACACGCAAACGAAAACAGAATTATAAATTTCTAAAACCCCATTAGCCTCTGTTCCTCAAGCTCTCTTTGAAATAAAGTACAAGCCAGTGTGCTAAGCCCCCAGGTGTCTAATTCCAGCTTGGAGACTCAGATTTTCTGTCCCCAGGACAACATCAGCATGGACTGTGCTGCCTTTGTCCCAGGCTCCTAGCAGAGCCCCTTGGCCTCCTGGTCTGAACGCCACAGGAAGAGGAGGGGACGGGGACTGTGGCTGGGGGACCTGTGCGCACGCGCACACGCGGGTGGGTGTGTGCACGTGCAGGAGAGAGCCATCAATGGCATTCGGAAGACAGTCCACCTCTCCCGTGTCTCACCTGCTTTCATCCTGTTTGAAAACGACCCAGGTCATCGTGAATGCTCGTGAATATGGGCAGCCAGTCCCTTGGGCTTGGAAATGAGAAACCAGGGAGGATCCTGGAATCCACCCCCCAGGGCCACACTCGGCCAGCCCCAGACAGTCCTCACTAATGAGCCCCGGTAGAGGACCTCAACGCAGCAAGGAGCAAACCTTAGCACCTCCCAGCAGAGCAGAGGGCCGCCCCACTCCTTCCACGGGAGGCAGAGGTGGGTTGCCTTGGGAATGAAAGCGCGGGCCAGGACAGTTCCTGGAACACTTCCAGAAGCCGCTCCCAGCTCACTGCGGTTTATCAGCGCAGTCAACTGGGAAAAGAGAACTGTGCTTCCAGAAATTCCAGGATGCTCCCAGGACAAGGAGACGGCGCGAACTAGTTTTGGGACATGACTTTAACTGAAGCAAATGTTCTTCTCACACCACACTGTCTCAGGCAAAGGGGCAGGGACAGGCGGAAGAGACCCCCAGCCTGGGCCTGACCTCAGGTGAGTGAGGTTAAGAAAGAGACTGGCTGGAGGCTGCGTGGCAACAAGCCCCACGGAGGGTTCCAGGGGCGTCCATCCGGCATTGTGAGCTTGGTAACGGGAGCGGAGGCAGAAACCATGACAGGGGAGGGGACCCACCTGCCTGAGCAAGGCCAGTGAGACCAGGAAATGGGGCCCAAGTTTGCAGAGCCTTGGACATGGCCCCACCCCAAAGAATACTGAGCTGTGGTGTGGCTTGGGTCACGCTCCGTATGGGTGCTGACCAAGGGCTCAGGAGCCGGAGGGCCCCTGGCCAAGGGCAGACCAGCACTGCTGGCGTGGACCTCCATGCCCCCGGCGCGACACACACCAGCACCACGGAGCAGGCAGGGTCCTTCTGCCACGACCGGGGCGAACAGAGAGGGCAGACACTGGGCGCGTGGGCTTCACAGAGCGACGGCGGCCGTGCGCCCACGGCCCTGGGAACAAGGGCCTACCCTGACTCGTGAGACGCAATGGGGACACGCAGCTGTGCTCTCTGGTCAGAAACCACTGGCCCAGGCCCGTCTCGGAAGAGAAACCCCGTTAGACTCACGTGGGGCCGTGTGTGTCTGCTCAACACGAGCAAGCCAGGGACGCCGGCCCAGAGCCGGAGGAGCGGACGGGGGCTGGCCACACGTCCCAGCCTATGTATCAGCCCCGGAGGGCCTGGCTCCGCAGGGGCCCCGGCTCGCCTGCAAGCCCCACTGCTCACGAGGGGGGCGCCTCAGGGCCAGGAACCTACAGACCAATAAGCAGAATTAAACTACTCTAAGAAATGAAAACCACCTTGCCACCGGGCCTGGCTGGGCAGTGGTAGCTGGAGGACCACGAGCCAGGCGGGGCCCCACTCCTGCCTCGGTCTCCCCAGCCCGCGCTCACTGGGCCATCTGCACCACGACGGCCCGCCAGGCTTTCTCCTTGTCGAACTCCTTCAGGGGGCTTCTGGACACCTGTGGCCAAACAGGCAGAGCGTTATTTCCCCTGGGCCCCCCCACCCCCGCGGCAGCATGCAGGCGGGAAAGCTGTTCACTGGAGAGCTTCTCTCATCTGTGACAACACAGGAAACAGCACAGGACCCCAGGGGTGGGGAGGCCATGGACGCCCCGGCCCCTCCACCTCCCACATCACCCCCAGGAACACAGCTGGGCAGGGGTGGGAGGCCACACGAGCGTCTGCCCCACAGACATCCCAGCACCTGCAGCACAAGCATCTGCATACAGTAGGCGCCCAATAAACAGACACCACAGTGCAGGAATCAACATGGCCGGTGAGGGCCTCCAAACTCTTCCTGGGGGGAGGGGACCAGCACCCCTGCAGAGAAGGTGCCTGAGGAGAATACTTGAGGCCAAGGTCAGCAGATGGGAACAGGAAGGCCAGTTGCCCGGCCCCTGGGCCTCTGGACCTGCTGTTTTGGAAACTTCTGGGAGCTCTAACTCAGCAGTCAGCACAGAGGTGTCCCCACCCAGACAAGGTGGGTCTCTGGTAGGTCCTGGGGGCAACGCCATCCCGTCCCTGCAGGAGACCAGCCCTCACGGATAAAAAGGAGAGGACACCGCCTGTGGATCTCAGTGAAAGAGAGCACAGGGCAAGACAGAGGCCCCAGCTCGCTGAGCAGGGGCCCACGGCGAGAGCTCGGGCATGCACAAAGGCCAGTCCACGGTATGAACACCTCACAGGGAGCGCACTGACCCGTGGCCTTCCAGCCGTGGGGGCCTCGAGCCCGGCGGAGGGGCTGGCATGAACCTCCAGAGCCTGCCGGCCAGAGGTCACAGACACCACCTGTCGGGGTGGGCGGGCACCCCCGAGAGGGGCCGGGAAAGGACCCCCGCGACCTGTGTGGGTCCTGAGCAACTTCCTGTCCGGGTCTGTGTGAGCTCGGTGCACAACACCTTTTCAGGAACAGACGTGAGCACCGAGCCGCCCAACTAGCCAGGACGGTCCCCTCGGCTGCTCACCTCCCCCGCGGGGCGCTCGGGCGGGCCGGCCTGCACGGTGTCCCAGGACGCGGCCAGCTTGAAGCTCACGCACTGCATGACGGTGCCCGTGTTGAGGCCGGCCTGGAGCAGCAGCGCCAGCAGCAGCAGCAGCAGCAGCACGTCGTAGGATTGCTGCGGAAACAGGGCGGTGAGCAGCGCGGCCCACCGGGGCTCCCGGCCTCCCCGGCCTGCGGCCCGCATGGGACAGGCTGCTTCTGCCGGCCAAGGGAGGCTGTGCAGGCAGTGCCTGGGCCCCAGGCTGAGCTGAGCTACTGTGACTCAATCCAGGTAAGAGCCCTTCTGCACAAGGATTTCTGTCTCACCGACAGGAGGCGAGGAAATCGATTCTGGCCCACGTTCTGCAGCCCTGGGTTTGACAGAGGACACGAAGATGGTCCCGGGGCTCCCCGCCTAGTCTCCCGTGCCCCAACACCACCACCCATAGAGCCCCATGTGATGACACAGAGGGCGTCCCCGTGGGGTGGAGCCCCCGGCTGTGTGAAGCAGGCCGCCCTGGGACGCCCGGGCCACAGCCCACAGACACCACCCACCTTCCTCGGAGCTGAGCCTGGCGGCTGCTGGGAAAAAAACTTCCAAGGAGCACCTGGCACAGCAGGGGGGCGGGGGACCGAGGGAGCCTTGGCGAGCAAAGGATCCTGGGGCGCCCCCGGCCCTCCCAGCCCAGGCGACCTTCAGCAGAGACACAAAACCCCAGCTCCACACAGTGTCACTGTGGAAACGCCTCTTTTCAAGTTAACGTACAAATCTATCCACAAGCCCAGTTTTTAAAAAAAAAAAAAGTGCTTCTGGAGCCAAGCAGCTTGATTCTAAAGCCCACACAGGAAAACAAGCACACAACGAAGGGGACCCTGAGAAGCGGTGACAGCTAAGTAGGCAACAGGCCTGGTCACACGTGAAGCCGGTCGGCAAACTTCCAGGACCGGCGCCTGCGGCTCTGGCTACGCGCAAGAGCAGCAGGCGCAGAAACAGGCCGGCAGGGCCGGAAGCTCCGCTGCGGGCAGGGCTGCACGTCCCCAAAGGGCAGGGAAGGTGGACGTTCTAGTCCCCAGCGTCTGACAGCCTCGTGCTCTAGGTCAGCTCCTGCCAGATGCAAGCACCAGCCTTTCTCACGGCGACGGAAACTCCAGAAGCAGCAAAGGAAGAGGCTGACCAACTTAACGGCATAAACAGAGACGTCCTCAGGACAGAAGTCACAGCTGTCGGGCGGGGGCCAGTGTCTGGACCCTCCATTCCACAGCGCCGGTCTCCCAAATACCGGTTGAGGGCAAGACCCCCGGAAAGTGGGCAAGACACAGACGCAGAGGCCACTAGGAACAACAGGCCAGCACCGCCACACACAGTCCAAGGCCACGTGTGTCCAGAGAGATGCCCACGGCAGCCACACCTGTGCACGGCCTCCCCCGCATGACAAAACCAGTGACGAGCCCCAGAGAAAGGTGGCTATAGTGTGTACAGAGGATGAAAGCCAAGTCCGCGGTGGCGCTCAGAAGGGAAGGGCGCCACCCGTCACACCGCGCATCACACTGCACGCAGGTTGTCGGAGACGTGGACACAAGATCCAGGTGTCCATCACCTTTCTTCACCCCTCAGTGTAGAACAATGGCTCAGGCGAGGCCAGCTGCCAGGGCCCGCGCCAGGTGCTGGGATGCGGTGTCCGCAGGTGCCCGGCTCACACTCGGTCACGGTTGTTTCCGACCCGCGAGAGCCCCGCACCCAGCCCCGGCCCGGGCGCTCCGGCAGCTGCTGCTAAGCCAGACGGGAGCTGACCGCACGCGCCCCAGACCCCGCGCCCACTGGCATCACAGGAAACGGACCAACACGTGCGAACTTCTTCCAGACACTTAGCCTGGACTCCAAGAGTCAGTGTCGCGGGGGCAGAGGCGGGGACCGCTGATGGAGAGACTCAGCCGGTCCCGCTCCAGAAGCTTCCCTCAGGAGGCACACCCTCGGGCTGGTCTGTGTGCACTGCCCGAAGGCCACACTGCGTGATTTCAGGCCCGTCGACTGCCACATGGGGCTGTGGGCATGTAGGAGGAAGTCCTTTTGGAAATGGCCAGTCCCTTCAGATGCTTCTGAAAAATGACACGCCTGCGTATGTGCTCCCAGCCGTCGTGGAAACAAACGTGTGCAAACAGCATGCAGCTGCCGGGGGATCTTGGTGCTCCGGAGTCTTTCCGTCTGTCTGTGTGTCTGAAATTTCTCATGACAGACACTTGGGAGCCAACAGCACACGTACTGGTAACAAGCCGAGTTACCTCAGCAATAAACCTGGGGCCGCGTGTCTGAGCCCACGGAGGGACTAGGAAAGGGGCATGTTCGTACGTGGAAAGGCCCTCAATTCTCAAGTTTGTCTAGAGATGAATCGGAGTTCCAACCAGGTTGTCACACACCCACATGGAGAGCGGGTTCTACCGTGGCCACGGAGCAGGAAGGGCCGAGAACCCCCAGGAGAGCCGCGAAGAAGGGGTGTGGGGTGCGCCGCGACACCAGACAGAATGGCCCAAACTTTGAAACAGAGCAGCTTGCGCAGCGCAGGGCTGGGGCGGCACGGGCACCCGAGCAGGAGCACGGACACCTGGCCGTCCCACAGAAGCGAGTCCGGGGCTGCTCAGGCCACGTGTGGGAGCAGCTCCGGCAGGCCGGACGCTCGGCCGGGCCACGTGTCCTGGGAGACCCGTCCCACAGAAGCGAGTCCGGGGCTGCTCAGGCCACGTGTGGGAGCAGCTCCGGCAGGCCGGACGCTCGGCCGGGCCACGTGTCCTGGGAGACCCCTCCCGCACGGCCCACGGGGCAGCAAGGCCACGTCCACATGGGGTTCCGAGCGAAAGGAGCACATACCTCCACGGCGGGCGGGTAGTCCTTGAAGATCTCCAGGATCCTCATGATGCTGAACGACAGGTACCCAGAGGCGGTGAACAGCAGCGGGGACGTGAGGCTGCAGATGGCGATCAGCATCTCCACCTGCGGGAGAAGATGGCGCTCGGCTCGGCTGGGCCAGCGGGCCTGGGAGCCACGGCCGGCACAGGCGTGGGCAGGCGTCGGCGTCTGCACTCTGCCTGAGGCTCCTGCTACGGTCTGAGCTTGGTCTCCCGTGAACTCCGAGTCCCCCCAGCTTCCTCACAACTACCCACTCTGCTGGGCGGGGGACACACGTGCGGCTGGCCTCTCACGGTGGTGCGCAGCCCATGCCACCGGCTGGGCCGGGCCGCCAGGCACATGGGGGCTGCAAAGTATGAGTGCGGGGAATTCGGGCCCAAACGGAGCGTCTCTCGCTGTCCGACAGCGGGTCCCCTGACAAGACGGAAGACACAGGCTGAGGCTGGCGGGCCAGCGTCCGCCTCGCTGAGTCCCAGGACTGTCTCGGGACTCCCCTCCATTTCCGTAGACAGTCCCACCCTCCAAGCAGCACCCGCCAGGCCTCCCTGCCCACCCCGCCGCCTGGTTCCCACGGTGGCAGAGAGAGAGCTAGGGAAGGGGCCAGGCGGCCAGGCCTCACTTACCAGACACCTGCTGGGGCACTCAGCCGTGACGTGACTGGCAATAGCGCTCGGGAAACACTAGGAGGAGAGAGAACACAGGCTCAGAGGGGATGGCAGGGATGGCTGCTCCCTGTGCTCTCCTGTTTTGGGGGTCCAGCGGGCTGGGGCTGGGATGGAGAGGAGAGGGGCGGCCTCTGCAGGCTATGGAGGAGCTGGGGGAGCCGCCCCAGGGTCATTCCGTCGGCCGAGCCGGGCTGCCTGCCCACAGCAGCTGTGTGCGAGCCTGCCGACGCGGAGACGTCCGCGGGGACCGCGCTCCACCAGCACCCACCACGCAGCGCTCCCACGGGTTCAACAGCACCGCTGCGTCCACATCCGCCCCATCGCCCAGTAACATCCCGCCGTCTCTGTGACCCTGCTTTGTGCTGACCAGAGACCCTCGCCCTCCACGGTCAGATGTGGGCGTTTCTGAAGAGCACACCAGCTCGCTGCAGGCTGGCCTCGGCCGGGGGGACTCAGAGGCCCCCAGGACCACCCGCCGCGCTGACCGCTCCACTGCGCAGGTCCCCTGCCCCTTCGGTGACACAGGTCCGCTTCATCTTACTGGAAGGGACGGATTTACTCGAACGCCATCTGGGTCACACAGTCCAGGCGGGGGAGGGAAGCAGGAGGACACGTCCTTCCCGAGGAGACCAGGGCTGGGCCCGCCGAGCTGACTGAGCCCACGGACCCAAGTGTGTGCAGGCGCTGGTTAGCCACACGCCCGCACGGGAAGGGACACACCCACGCCCTGGGTGGGCACGGCTCGGACCCCTGGACACTGGGAGGCGCCTGCACTGGCTTAGGGCTCTGGCTTGGGGGGGAGCGGGACACAGCAGGCTCTGCAGCAGGAGGACAGAGAGGGGAGCAGCCCTCTGAAGGCGCTGGTCTCAGCAGGGGTGTGGGCATGGCTGCAGAGGTGAGTGGGGCAGGCCCGGAGCCTGGGGTGAAGGTGCTCCAGCAAGCTCTCTGGGGGACCTCTGGGCGTGGAGCAGTCGCTGAGGAAGACTCAGTGGCCCCGGCATGCCGGGAGCAGGGCTCAGGTCTGCTGGGTGGGTCCTCCAGCCCCAGGCCCTGGACAGCGGGAAACTGGCCTGTGGCGGGGAGCTGTTCGCGCACACACACACACACACACCACTGGCCCAGGGACGCCACGGGAACCGGCTCCCAGCCAGAACCCAAGCCCTAGACCGCGGCCTGGTCTATGACCTTGGCCTCTCCTACTGTTCCCAGACCACCCCTCCCCACCAGGGATCACCCGTGATCCTTTTCTCTTCGCATTCCACATCTGGGGGCACAGGGGGCACCTGCAGAGAGAGAGGCCCAAGGAGGCTGGTCTGGGGATGATGGCCACACCGTCCTCTCTGCCTGCTGCTTTCTCCCCAGGCTCCAGTCCTTGGGAGATCCCTTGGCCATCATTCCCAGGGCTCGGCCAGGCTGGGCACAGGCGCCCACGGTGTTGCTCTGAGCCGTGGGATGCAGCAGGACTCCGGGCCCAGCGTCCAGAGGAGACACCAGTCCCCCCTTCCTGTGGCTCAATGTGCAAGCTGGCAGGCAGCACCTCCAGGAGAGTAGGAGGACCAGGCCAGGGATGCTCCCTGTGTCCTGTCCACTCAGACGGGATGGCCCTGGACAGCAGGGTGGGACAAACCAGCCCCTCCTGCAGGCGCCCCATGTGACCCAGGGACGTGGCAAAGCAGCCCCGGGGTGACCACATCTGGGAGCATGGGGCACACAGTGGTCGATCTTAACCATTCCATGTGGCAGTGAGGAGCCCACACCTGCCAAGGCCGCCTGTGGCTGCAGATGGGAGACACTGGGCATTTCTGCTCGACACGAGCAACGTCCCCTGCTGTCAGTGATGACAGACTTGCTCATCAGACCATGAGACCACCAGGAGTACTCACGGCCACTAAGATCCAAAAGAACGTCACTGAGAGGTGCGGCCCTGAGACGGCGTCGTCCACGTTCAGAGCAATGACACCACCCAGGACGGCAGAGACGCCAGCAATCACCTCGATGACCTGGGGAGCAGAGCACACAGGCAGGGTCACCCAGGGAAAGCGTCTTGCGTGCGGCCAGCGGGCAGGGGTGCGACTGCTCTAAGAGCTCAGGGCAAAGGAGCCAACACGTGGAAATGCTGAGGACAACCTCTATGAGAACATGGAAAAATGCGTAGTTTCCAACTCAAAATTGGTGGGAAAAGGAAAAAAGCAGAAGGACGACACTCCCACCCGTCAAAGGCAGGCGGGAAAGGCCCCAGAAGGCGAAGCAGCGAGAAAACCGAGAGGCGACAAAACTCGGCACACACGTGGCCACGTGGTGACATGGGCTGCCCACGAGGCACGGCGTCCACGAGGCCCCGGAGAGGACGGCAGTCCCACATAGTGCCGGAAGCGTCCCCAAACACAAGCAGGACTGAACGTCGGGGCAAAAGGGCACAGCCCACAGGGCCGATGGCGGGAGAGCCGGGCCACTGACCCGGTCAGCACAGGCTTTATGACAAACGCCGGCGGGAGACTTGCTAAGTGATGACAGAAGGAAACCTGTACGTGTCCGGGGACACAAGCTCCAGACACCACGGCGGGGAGCTACAGAAACGAGGAAGGCCGCGCTCAGAACGGAGGGTTATCAGAAAAAGTGGAAAACACCCAAGTCTGGAAACAGGTGACCAGAGAGGGTGGCCATGTCGCCCCCTTCCAACCAGGATCCTTGTGAGAGGAAGGGGGTGAACCTGAGGACCGCCCCGGAGAGCAGGGGACGCTCAGGACACTGCGTCACACGACCCTCCCCACGTAAATAAAGGGAAGTTTATCTCACCGAATAGGACTTCAGGACCCGGGCAGGAAAGGCCACTTCATACAGCACATTGGCGCCGTCCGGCATGGGACCCTGAAAGGAAAAACACGTTTGGCTGCTGACATCGCAGGTGCCGCAGGGGGCGGGGGTGCACCCCAGGAGAGCCTCTGCCCCCGCTCTCCACACCAGCCCCTGTGCTCTGAGGTCAGAGGTTCTCCCTGCCTATGTAAATGGGATTAGTTGCTGCGCTTGCTGTTTTCAAGGTGACACTTGCTATAGACTTTGTCTCTGCATGGGAAACGCCGGGCCCCGGGTCTGGACCAGAACCACATGGAGCAGGAAGGTTGCGTCGCACCTTCCACTGTGCTCCCTGCAGCCATGAGCCTCGGGACTCCCTGGAGATGTGGGGCTGTGTGGGGGCGCAGGGGCAGGCTTCCGTCCCGCCGACCTGTGCTCCGGGGCGCCACCTGGGGATCCCGCGCAGCCCGTCGCCGGACCCACCTTCTGCTTACAGGGTGCCTCGCTGGACCGTGCTGAGATGATCACTGTGGCTGCCATGAAAATCTCCAACAGAAGGAGCAGAATCAGATTGAAATTTATCTGCCAAAAGAGAACACATGTGTCTATAAAACGGAATCTTCACTTGCTTTCCATAAACGCAGACAATCCCACGGACAGGCTTAGAAGTCCAAGCTCCAGGCAGCCTTCCTGAGCAAGGCCAGATGCTAGGCACAGGGGCCACACACCCCTAGGACTCTGACTCTCTCTCTCTCGAAATCATTCTTAGCTCCAGGCCTGGATTTGGCGACCCCCGAGCTAGCCCTTCCTTAGTGGTTTGCCCCTCCTGGGTATTTAAAGATACAAAAACTGAAGTTAATTTCAAAACTGGGAGCCTTTACACAGCTCTGTGCAGGACGCCAAGACCTGAAGAGGCCAGGGCCTCGGGGATGAGACGGTAGTTCCACATCGTGACTGTGTCGGCCTGTGTCTCTGATAACAATCACAGAACAAAATGCTAAAAACAAACAAACAAACAAAACCTAATTAATAAATTGTAGGATATGCATGCAAGCTGGCTGACCTTGGGCCCTGGTCGCCCACCCTCTCTGTGGGGCTCGTGGCCTCGGGGCCTCCCTCACCCGCCCCCAACCCCAGGGCAGGTGCCCCACAACCAGGGAGCCCGGAGCCCGCGGACGGTATCCACGCGAGCCAGTCCTCAGCCTGCTCCCCTGCCTTGTCCGTTCCTTCCTGCCCCCGTCCCTCCCGCTCTGCCTCCTGGTGCTTCCCCAGGGGCCCCCAGCCTGGGCACGGCCTGCCCCCCCCCTCCTGGGGCTGTGAGGGATGAGCTAGCTTCCCGACGGCGGCTGTCTCCTGGTCGCAGGCCTCCGCAGCCCCGAGTGATAATAAAACCACATTTAAAATCAGATGAAGTTAATATGTTTGATCTACAGAACTCTACATGCAAAATAAAACAGACAACATTTGTTCTTTTATATATTTGGTGGAATGTTAACAGAAACTGACCATCTACTAAGCCACAAAATAGCCTAGGTAAATTCCCAAAAATCTACACAAGTTGTACATTCTGACTGTAAAAATAACATTAGAAAACAACAAATGGAAGGTTTTAAAAAATAATCCCATGGGTCTGTTTCATCAGGTTCTTGACAAGAAACCTAGGGATAGCCATGAGGAGGGACTGGAGGAAACCCACCAGTGTGGCAGCGACCAGTGAGGACCAGGGGAGGGAGGGCATGACCGTGAAAGAGGACCGAGCCCCCGTCCCAGCACCCCGGAGGGTTCAGAGCCAGGGAACGGACACACTAACCACTCGCTAACAACCCGTCTCCATCTCTCACGGGCACACGTGCTGCCTCCTGGCACAGACAGGCAGGCACTGCGTGGGAAGCGGGTCTGGAGAGGCAAATGGGAGGTGTGCAAATCCCTAAAACCAAACAAGGATGAAATGCTACGTGTCAGATCGGAGGCAGCTAAGCCGGAGCTTGGAGACGGGGCAGACGCACCCCAGTGGGCTCGGCTGCCAGCCCGCTGCGGATGCAGGGCTCCGACTCCCTGCTGGCCCACCCAGAAGCAGCCCCGGACACATGGAAAAGAGAGCGCGGCAACCACAGACAAACCAAAGCAAGAGCTGGTTCTTCGCAAGGATGTATAAGGCAGATACGATGAAGACACGTGAAATTCTGAAATGAAAAGAAGTTACACATGGCTGTCCAATTGGACAGCTATTGTAGAATGAAACTGGACCATTTTCTTACACCACACACAAAGATAAACTCAAAATGGATAAAAGACCTCAACGTGAGACAGGAATCCATCAGAATCCTAGAGAAGAACATAGGCAGTAATCTCTTCGATATCAGCCACAGCAATGTCTTTCAAGACACGTCTCCAAAGGCAAAGGAAATGAAAGCGAAAATGAACTTTGGAACTTCACCAAGATCAAAAGCTTCTGGGAGGTGCCTGGGTGGCTCAGTGGGTTAAAGCCTCTGCCTTCAGCTCAGGTCGTGATCCCAGGGTCCTGGGTCTAGGGTCCCACATTGGGCTCTCTGCTCACCAGGGAGCCTGCTTCCCTCTCTCTCTCTGCCCGCCTCTCTGCCTGCTTGTGATCGCTCTCTGTCAAATAAAGAAATAAAATCTTTAAATTAAAAAAAAAAAGATCAAAACCTTCTGCACAGCAAAGGAAACAGTCAAGAAAACAAAGAGGCAACCCACAGAATGGGAGAAGATATTCCCAAATGACAGTACAGACAAACGGCTGATATCCAAGATCTATAAAGAACTCCTCAAACTCAACACACACAAAACAGACAATCACATCAAAAAATGGGCAGAAGACATGAACAGACACTTCTCCAATGAAGACATACAAATGGCTAATGGACACATGAAAAAATGTTCATCATCACTAGCCATCAGGGAGATTCAAATTAAAACCACACTGAGATACCACCTTACACCAGTTAGAATGGCCAAAATTAGCAAGACAGGAAACAACATGTGTTGGAGAGGATGTGGAGAAAGGGGAACCCTCTTACACTGTTGGTGGGAATTCAAGTTGGTGCAGCCTCTTTGGTGAACAGTGTGGAGATTCCTCAAGAAATTAAAAACAGAACTTCCCTATGATTCTGCAATTGCACTACTGGGTATTTACCCCAAAGATACAGATGTAGCGAAAAGAAGGGCCATCTGTACCCCAATGTTCATAGCAGCAATGGCCACAGTCACCAAACTGTGGAAAGAACCAAGATGCCCTTCAACGGACAAATGG